ATGGATTGATGTTTTGATTCAGACAGCTGTAAAGAGCACATAGTCCCATTGCACAAAGCCATGCTGACTTTTGGGGAAGGGTAGAATGATCTATTCCAGTCTGCTGCAAATACTATGCTTAGTTGTGCAGGGGCCGACCTCTTCTCAGCCTCAAGCAGAGCGATTGTTGCATTAAATCAGTATAAATCATGGATTAAAGTGAATGAGAAGGAGAGAAGAGAGTTGATCATTCATGAAACTATATTCTTTCTTTCTGGGAAGCACCTTCACTTTAACCATATACAGTATTTTTTGATTCCAGCTCAGCTAATGAAATAAAATACCAATGTCTGAAATGCAATACATTTTGTGTGCAGCAAGTTTCAATTGTTCAGGATTCTTATAAGAAGATCTTGATAATCCAGCAATAAATTTGTTTGTACTAGAAAATATCTGTTTCCAGTTTTGTTCACTGACTCATCAGAATTTGCATTGTTTTCTTTTTCTATTTAACAATCTTGGTTTCACCATCTATCAGTGAGCAAGAGTAAACCGCTTCTAATGTATTTTTTCACATTTTGGGCCAACAGAATAGCAACAAGGCATTTCATTGTAAGGGTTCTTGTGCATTCAAAAATCACAATGAAAATTTTTCACATATTGAACAGAAAGTGCGGTTATATTTTTCATTTTGTCAAACTCCTGGCAGTGATTTATGGTAAAGTTATAACTTTGGCTAAAAATAAATCACTGTGAGAGAATTTGCTTTTAGGAAAGAAAGTTGTGCTGGATGTTGTCCAGCTGAAATTGCCTTTCTTAATTGGTTGTAATAAGTGCTGGTGTTTGACTTTTGAAATATATAAGCTTTACAAGAGAATTTTATCCAATTTTATTGTGCTAAGAAAATCCAAACTAGTTTTTGTCCCAGGAGGCTGTTATTCTGGAGTAAATTAATTTTCAGACAAGCAAACATGCGGAGTGCCATAGCAAATTTGGAACTTTGCCTATGGAAATTTTTCTCACTGGCCTAGTCAAAAGTCAGGTTAACCTGCTGTTTTTGGTTTTAGATTTCATATTGCATCTTGGTTGTCTGATTCTAATCCAAGATTACTGTGTCCTTTACAGCTGTGTGAATCAAAACATTAATTCATTTATGTTTCTTCAGTGTTCTTTAAAAAAAGATCTATGTTATGAAGCCTTATGTCTCACTTTCACTCTTATCTGTACTTCCTATTCTTGTGATATAATTGCTTTTAACCCTGCTAAGCACTAGTAGTGATTGAGGTAGAATTATTAAGCTAGTCTTTTATGGCCTTTTGTATCTGATATGTTCTAAGCAAGACCATGATGATTTTCAATGATTTTGAAGAGCTGTGGTGGTAAAATTATTGAGAGCTATATGCTTACATTTGAACCGCTGCAGCAATTCAAACTTGATTTCATTAGACAAGTTTGGGCAGTTCTCAGCTGGGTCATTAGATAGATTTCCTTGTTGCAAGGGAGAAACATTGGCAGGATTGGGCTTGTCCTGTAATCACAAAGCTTCTGATCAAAGAACAAAATGGACATTGTCCTTCAAAGTATGCAGACCTTCATGGCTGAGGGAGGAAGTATGTCAGCAGGAGGCAGCAGTGGGGACCCAAAAAGGGGAAACATAAATAAAGCTGCACTGGTTCTAAAGAAGAAGACTGTTTGCAACTATAGTCAATATTTAATAATGTAATCCTTTCATAGTCAGGAAATGCAGTAGGTTTGATAAAACTGCTGCATAATCTCCCTCTGAAATGTGAGAATATTAGTCAATTGATGAACCGTAAAACTCATATGAGTCACCTCTTTATATACAATAAAAAAATTACATTTATAGTGCGCCTTTCACGTCAGGAGGACGTCCCAAATATATATTGTATATATTTGCCTAGGTTGTACATAATAATATAATAATCTGTGAATTTGATATAGCGCCTTATCACGTCTTCGAGACGTCTCAAAGCGCTTCACAGAATACACTGTAAAGTGTAATGACTATATTTTGTGGGGGTAAATGCCCCGGAATCCTGTTCAGTTTCCTACCAAAAACCACTAAGGTTTCTTTGCACTAGTCGTATTTTATAAATCAGATAAAAAGGCTAAATCATAATGGTTGTGTGGTCCCAAATAATCCTAAATCCTACGCAGATCATCTCCTCTAACTCATAACACTGCTACTGTGTTTCCTGATTGCATTGTATTCCGCTTGAGACAAGCGCGGGAAGCAAAGTCTTGACCCGTCTCCGCAAGTGCCACATGCTCTGTACAGTACAGTGTACTGCGCCCTATCTACATTTTCACTATTGGGTATGGTCTGATTGAGCATCACACATCATTCAATCATCTGCAGCCCCAGCAATGCAAGGAATCCTCATGATCATGGAATAAATAATCAGGTCATGCCACATGTATCCCTGTAGTATTTAGTTTCATTCCCAACCAGCAGTGGTCTTTTTTGTGGTCCTATTATAACAGTGTTTGTTTTTTTTGGCTCAGACACACAGTGTTATAATGGGGTCACCCTGCAGTCTGTACAACATATTTGCTTTTTGAGGGTGGGGGAATATCTGCCTCACATTCTCATAGATTCTAAATTTCTTCAAAAGACATTTGCTTAAAACACTTAAACATGACTTATGTCTACCTTGCTAGATGTGTGTGATTAGTTATGCCCTCACTGTGCAAGTTGAATATCTTGCTCACATCTTATTTCATCAATGCCTTTGATCAATTTAGAAATTTGGATCAGTTCTTGCTGTTCTCTAATAGCCTCTTTCTTCCCCTTCCCCAATCAAACAAATTGTTTCTACAAAATTAACTTGCGAAAATAAATAAAATGTTTATCTAATTAGATTTCTGATTGATTCAAAATTATAGTTAGTTATGTTTTGTGGATTATTGCCATTAGGAACTGGATTGAAATTGGGCAAGATGTTTTCACTTTTCCTGCTATCAGAAAAAGTCTAGGGTTGATTCAAATTCAAATGTCTGAGAACAAAGGACATATTTCTAATCCAATTTGCTTCTCAGTCTCATAGATTCTTAATTTAAAAAATACATTTGCAAAAAAAACTTAAACATGATTTAAGTTCAGTTTATGACTCATTCCATTTGTGCAGTAGTATGCAACATATGCAAACTTTTTATCTTTGAGACATCTCAAAGATGTGATAAGGTACTATATCAAATGCAAGGATTATTATTATATACAATTAAACTTTCTAATTCAGAGAGTTTAAGACACTTTTTGCAGATATCTTCATGCTGCTTTGCAATTTTTTTTGTTGCTTAGATGGGCAGTTTAGTATGCTGAGCAGGGTGTTTCCTGTTGACACAAAGTTATTTCCACTAACCAAATTTTTTGTGCTGCAGTGAAAGCGATCAAATCAGCCATGCTTATGTGGTTTATGTTGATCATGGAATATCCTACACAGATGCCAGACATCAATCATTTTATGCTTCATTTTTCAAATATGAAGCTCAGTAAAAGTAGTAAGTCTCAACTAATATCACAGCAATTAATGGGGAGTAAAAACATAATAATAATCTTTGCATTTGATATAGCGCTTTTCACATGTTCTAGACGTCACAAAGCGCTTCACAGAATATACTGTAAAGTAAATTGACCGTATATTTGTGGGCGAAACGCGGCAGCCAATTGCGTACAGCAGTGTCCCACAAACAGTCGTGGATTGAAAATTACCAATTTATTATTGATTTGTTTTGGAGGTATTATTAATAATGCAAAAATAGAAAATGAAGGTTAGGGTTAGGGTTGGTTCAGTAATACAGTATAATCAGCAGATTTAATTGTTTGCTCTGTAGCAAACCTTAGACAAAAGGCCTGAAACAAAAGAGGTTGAAAAAAGTAAGAGAGAAAGAAAATGAGAGGTGCAGTGGTCATTGATTGCAAACTTTGATTCTAAGAGCCTGTAGGTTGTAAGAGGAAGCCTGGACTAGGTAAGGTGTTCCAGAGCTTTTAAATCATTGATAAAATTGTGCGTAGGATATGGTGATTGTCTTGATTTCAATAGTGAAAATGCAGAGAGAAGTTAAAGGGCTGGGCTGTATTAAATGGTTCTTGAGAGGAAGGGTCTGAGGAGCAACGCCCATTTTGTTGTCTTTCTTTTGTTCTGTCAGATACTAACAGATCACAAAGCTAATCAAGCAAAATCTCCAGAATTGTTATGTCTATTCCTTCTCCCCAGAATATTTCTTTCACCTCCTCCCCCCTCTCCAACTCACTCTGGCTCCAGCAGCATTGTACCCTCAGAGTATGTTTTCATACTAGTCAGCATTTATTCCTATATCTTCCAATAAAGTTCCAAAGCACTTACAATCTTGTTTGTCTTTTTAAAAACAGGACTCAATCAAGTAGCATCAAATGTTTTTCTTTACGCACGCCAAGACGCTACCCTGCATGAAGAGTTTTATATAAATGCAGATTGTTGTTGTTTCTTAGGCGTCTGTTCATGATAGAATCTTTTACAAAGTTATACATTGTTGCACACTTTAGCCCAGTATTTGGATTCTTCAGTAACACAGTCTTTATCACTATTTTACTGTTGTAGCCAGATCACTTGGTTGTGAGTCTGGGAAAAGAGTGAGAGTCGGGGAATGCAGATAATCAGGAAGATGGATAATACTTTTCTGTTGTAATCTTGTTTTAACTAACTGATCTGTTTTGCAGCCATCAAAATCCTCAAAACAGATTTAATATTATAGAAATAACAAAAAAATTGATAGAAATCTGAAATTAAACAAAATTGTCATGCTAGGATGCACAGCACGTCAATCAGCAAATTATCTGCCATACTTGCCGAGAAAATGTAGTCACTCCCATTATAGTAATTCCTGTGAAGCACTTTGATGCATTCCTCCTTGAAAAGTGCTATACCAAATGTAAAGATTATTATTAGTGATTTTATGTAGGAAATTGTAGTCTTTTGTGGCTTTTTAAAAACTCATTTCGTTGCATTATGATTTTGCAGGTCCTCTACCTGAAAGTGACTGTGTACTTGCACCAATAAGTGAATCTCATCCAGTCAAAGCTTTGCTGGAGAGCTTTACTGTGTCATCTGGTTGTGCTAGTGGAGGAACAAGAGGACATCCTCAAGAAGTGCACATCATCAATGTAAAAAGCACTAGTGCAGACCCTAACCACCATGACAAAATAAGAAGTACTGGAGTAGATGCCAGCCATCATGAAGAGGTAAGGCAATACTCCTTTTTCTAATAACAGATTTTAAAAGAGATAAGTGCGCCATGTATTTATTGTGCATGTTATACCTTTGCTTTCTGATTACGTAGAATGTGGAATCAGACCATTTGGCCCAACTAGTCCGTGCCAGACTTTTTCTAATGAAGGCATTGGAAGGATACAGTTGCTCTAATTTTTATTTATGCTATCAGATTCTTTTAGAGTATTGGCCATTACAGCAAAATTCTTAATGCAAAGAATTGGATTAAGAAGCCTGTTCATGAACTATACTCCATTTTACACAACCTCTACAGGTCGATAGCAGTTACAGGTACTCTTAATTATGTAATCACCCACTGAGAGGGATTGATTACTAATGCAATGATAAACGCATGGTCATTTCAAATGACATGGTTAAAGCAAAACTCTGTTTCCAGTGTTATATAAACAAGAAAAATAGTTGTGCAGAGAACATTATAGTTTGCTACAGTGCTCAATGTGAGAATCTTTACAGCAAATGCTGGCTGGTTGATTTGTTAGAAACATGGTCAAGGTATACTATTTACAAAGAAGGATGGTGAGATACACGTTGCTAATCAAGATGAATGTATTGTATAGCCAAAATGAGACAGCCTTGTACTCATAGATGGCTCCTTTAATATACAAGAAAACAAGGACATCTGGAAGAAGAATGAAGGTAAAATAACCACCATAATTTGTAGCAATCGTTCTGTTTTAGCAGTCCCTTACTTTCTTAAGGGAAAATCAAGGCAACTATTGTTCACATGATAAACATCATCACGTGGAGTCCTGTAGCTCAGTGGTTAGAGCACTCGCTTTGCAAGTGAGAGGCCTGAGTTCAATTCCAGGCAGGGCGAAACCTTGGGCAAGTTTCCTTACGCCACACAGAGCCTAATAATAATCCCTCCAAAAAAACAAAACAATAATAAATTGGTCATTTTCAATCCATATGACTGTTTGTGGGACATTGCTTTGCGCAACTGACTGCCGCGTTCGCCCACAAATATACAGTCAATTCACTTTACAGTGTGTTCTGTGAAGCGCTTGGGGACGTCCTCCCGACGTGAAAAGCGTTATATCAAAATGCAAGGATTATTATTATTACTTGCTCTACTCGCTGAGTTTAACAGCAACAAGACTACATGGATGCCATTATGTTACATCGAGGAGTGGTTCCATTCCTTTAATTCTCAAGTCAGCACTTGCAACCACGATGCCATTATGTTACAGCACCAGCATGTGCCTCAGATTTGGAATAGTAATGCTTCTGCTGTTAACATGCCATTGTGTGTCAGCCTGGCTCAGTTAGTTGCACTTTTCCCCCGATTCAAAAGGGTGTGGGTTCAAGCCCCATATCACTCACACTGTACTCACAGTGTCTACACAGGGGTACTTTTTGTAATGCAGTCTATGTAAAGGCTGAAATCATAATTTTTCCTAAATGTTACAAAATACAATTCTTGTGTGGCCTTAAAATATCATGATTTAATTGCCTTGGGCATAATTAAAATTAATTTCTCCTCCGAATTTAGCAGGACATATTCAGCAATTCTGATTATATATAACTAAACAAAACCATCTGCAGCTGAACTATCTATTGCATTCTAGATTTGGCTGTGTCACCTTTTAACCTGGTTCTCTTCTTAAGTGCAAAATGCTGTGATACTTGGCATCACTTGTCTGTTGCCTTTGCCCCTCCATTGTAATGACAAAGTTTGGAAACTAGTAGTGTTCCTTCCCTTAGAATGAACAGGAAACTGCAGAACCGGTGCTGGCGACAGGACAGAGCAGAGAATTGTAAACACAGTAGAGAGATCAGATTTTGCTTTAACTTCGGATTTATAAACAAAGCAGAACAACTCTTATCTTAAACATCAACCATGCTCCACATATGTGCCTTCCTGAGTTAAATATTAGTTTTGCATCCACTATAATTCTTAGTTATCTCTGTTTTATGTTTAAATGTAGCACTTTTCAGGATTTGAATCTGAAGTTAACAGAATACTCTCCCAACCAAATTAAAAGCAGCATAGTATAGTCAATTACATGCATGATTCAGCCTCTATTTTCCACTTTAAATATCTTACAAAAAAAAGTCTATCTAAAGGAAACCCACCTTATTGCCAGATTTCAAAAAGCATGAGGAATCATGCATACCATCTGGCTTTAATTTCTCACCATAATAAACTATACCGGTGAAGCAAACAGCAGTGATGAAAACCTATCATCACCATGGTCCCAGTTCTGTCATAACTTTTCTTTTCTCTTGACGACTCAGCTCTAGGAGTGATCTCTGGATCTACAATGTTAGGTGTCCTGACCACCTTTCAAATTATTGTCATAGTCTAGAATCTCATTGGTTTGGAGTCAAAGTGTTCATAACAAAATCAAATTTGTCAAACTCACAATCTTCTTTTAAAATAGAGAAATATAAATGGCAATGGAATGCACCATTGCATTTATTGGGTAAGTGAGTTTATTGTGACAACAATGGTTTGTGGTTTTATAGTACAGCAATAAAACTTTTGTACTATAAGTGATGCAACTAATTTCTTTGCTGCTTCTACAGGAGCTGCTTCTTCAATTAACATTACTTTAAATACCGTATATTTAGCTTGTCAGTTTTGGGACAATATTGAGCTTGTTCTCCACCCAAAGAAGTCACACATTTGTGGTAACTTCATTTGGAAGCAGAAATTGAAGAGTTCCTCTTTTTAAGCCTTCCAAAGCACAAAATATTTAAGTTTATACAGTATAGTTTACCATTTAGACTGAAGGTGCCTTATATTTTGATTCAGCCAAGTCTAATATGCTATTTGTTTTTTCTGGAGAGAAATTTTAGAGCACTTGTTTTCAAAGTGCCAATCACTGAATTTAACATGGTTTGGCAACTCCTTCAAGGATACCATTGCATTTGTAGAGGAAATAGTCATGTGTTGGCCAGACACAGCTGCTTGTCATCATGTTTACTATGTGAAGCTCAATCTTTGGCAAAAAGCAGCACACCAAAGTTGTCTCAAAATGCCTTTACTTTTAATAATAATAAAATAAATAATCCTTGCATTTGATATAGCACTTTTCACGTCTTCTAGACGTTTTAAGGGTATATTGGAGTTCACTCTGCATAATTTGGAGCTTTTTTTTAAATGAGTTATCTTTTCCAACAATATTTTCACATGCTTCTGTAAACTTGTATAGGACTACTAGACCTTTCATTTTCTCTTTGGTAAATTAATATCCGTTTACAGTAGAACTCTGTGTGTATATTAGCAGTTTAATAATCTGCTATTTTCATGATTTTCAAATATTACTATCACCCTTTCTAATACTGTCCATAAATTGCCTTAATCTCTGTTTAGATTGAATGACCATGCACTATAACTCTTTGAACATGAAATCCTTCAATTAGAGGATATACTGATGAAATGGGTTTAATCTGAATAGTGCAGAACCTTACAAGTTAGACTAATTTATATTAATGTATCTAAATTAAATAGATACAGTACTTAAATAGATATTTAATAAATTATATACAAAATGCATTCAGTTTTTTGTTTAAAGCTTAAATGACAAATTATTCCATGCCTTCTGCCCCAGCTGAGAGTGGTCAAGATAGTGGGCTACAATAGCAGTAAAGCCCTTCTGCAAACTCTCAGCAAGAAGCACAATTCAAATAGGACAAGCCAAACCATATAAATTCCAACTCCTACTTCTGCACATTGCTTTGTTTAGTGGCCCAACCGAAAATTGACAAAACCCACTCAGGAAGCAAACGGAAATGATTTGCATTCAATTTCTGTTTAGAATTGGATCCCAGCGTGCCTTTCTGGTTTCAGGTCTATGTATTCACATGTAGGCAGAGAGCACATTTTAGAATAACATTAAATTCAACAATGTTGCAGGACAACTTTGTGCACATCTCATTTCAATTATTTTCCAAGGTAATATCTTCTCTAAAGTGGCCTTTTTGCCTAGTTCTGCTACCCAAATAATATTACTCAATAACCATGCTGAGCTTTACTTTTGATATATAAAATTAATTTAACAAAAATTGGCACAAAACGCCTTACCATGGAAGGAAATATTGAACAGGATTTTATGGAAGTGACATCAATAGTTGAATAGTCGAGAATAGTAAAGAAACTGTTTCAGAACTTCAGGTACAAAAAAGTGTTTTTAGGAGTAACAACTTTCCCATTGATATGCAGTACTTAGTTGTAATAACTGTATATTCTCGGTAGAAAAGAACAAACCATTGATTTGGACTGTTATTGATTAAATAGAATAAGTTCTGCATTTTGTAACTTGAAATCATTTACAAAAAAGAATCATCATGAAAAATTTCACAATCTTCCTGGAGACTGTTTTTTGAGAGGCCCTTCTTGTAGAAGTGATTTTGTACCTTTAGTACAAAGTAAAATATAGAGGAAACTTACCAGACATTATAACTCTCATGAGAATTTTGTTCTTGTGGTGAGGTGAGCTGGGCATCAAGTCAATAGCTTGTTCAATTCCATACCCTTTTGTCCCAAGTTTTCTTTATTTTGGTAAACCATGGCAATCCTAAAAGTGAAGGCTTTTATGTCAATAGATATCAGAATTATAATTGAAAATTATTCAAAATTGATAAAAATAACCATTGACACCATAGATACACGGTATTTTAGCATTAAAAATACGTAGTCAAATACATAGTCATTACACTTCACTGTTAACCCAAAGTCTGAATTATTTGATTACTATAATTGATTTTTTTCTATTTAAAAAGTAGAAAACAAAATGTATTCTAAAAATATCAAGTCAAGCAACTGGCAAAAATATTAAAGCTTGATTCCCCAAACCCTAATTAAAAGTGTACACGGTCTTTAAGCACAAAACGGGTATTACTTGTGGCCTGCAATTTCTAGGCGCCCATTTTCAGTGAAACCAACCAGTTGTTTCCTGTCTGTTCATTCGCCTGTCATTTCATTCATAGACCAAGCCTTACTTTTGACATGTAACACAAATTTACTAGAAGCTGGCTCAAAAAGCCTTCCCATGGGAGGAAATATTGGATAAGAACTTAAGGAAGTAACATTAGCAGTTAATTGGTAATGAAACTTTTGCCACTAGATAGTTAAAGAATGTTTTCAGGGGGACTGGACTTCTGATTTACTTTGAGAACCTTAAAATGCCTGTGAGTCCAATTAGTTTATAGAATAAGTACATTTGTTTATTCATTGCTGGCAGTCAATCAGTTGAGGTTGTAAGAATGTTTTCTGGACCAATCGACAGTTCTGCTTCATTCTCTCTATTGCTATGGTAGAATGCTATTGGGTCCTTCTCACTTTCACCAGTTCTCTTCTTTTTTTTGCCTCCTCCCCCCCCCCCCCCCCACAATGTAGTCTCAGGTTAATATTTGCCCAATAGAGCTAATTACTTTTCCAGTTATCTGGTAGTTTACAGACATACTGCGTAGAGGAAATGGCCACTTGGTCCAATAAGTCTGTTTTTTCCATTGACCCCAAAAGACCAACAATATTGCACACTATTTAACCTGAGTGGATGCAAAACTTCTTTCTGACTCCTATTCGTGAATGAGCAAATTTTACTTCATAAACCCAAGTCTAAAATCATCATTGTTGCTCCTCATTGAGCCCCCTCCAATACATTGATACACTTTTGAAAATTGGGTGCCCTGAACCATACACAATTTTTTGTGTGACCTCACTGTGATCTGTTTAAGGTTAGCATAACTTGGGATTGACTTACAAATGCATGCCCTTGAGCTGCATCTGAGAATGTATTTAGCCCACTACCACTTCAGCAACCATGCCTCTTAATACCAATGCCTGTGGAAGTATGTCCCTCTGGGTTGTACTTTTGATAAATCTAATGTAACTGCATATTGTTTTTCACCCATTCCCCCCATTATTTACTAGGCTGTGTGCTTGAGGAATTGCAACCAGATGTGTAAGTCAGCCTTTCTACCCCATGCTTATCTGATGTAGTGAAATATTTGTTTCTCATTTCTGTAGTGACTGAAGCGTTTGGCTCCATGTGACCCTTTGTGCAAAACTGACATGATGTAGAATTTGTTCTGAAAGTTCACAAGAGTGACCTATTTGTTTTCAGAGTCCAATCGTAGCAACTCCCTCAGTGCGATTGTATTCCACTGGAAGTCTGAATCTGTGGCTCTGTGTAACCAGGTTTTGCCCATTGGTGTAATATTAATTACTGTATTTGCTTTTTTTTGCTTCCTGTGGAAACAAATTGTTTTATCTAGATTTAGAGAATGAGTCATTCAGCATGTGAATTTTTACCGACTTGGGTGATTCATAAATATAGTCACTTGAATAGCGAAGAAGGTGGTCAGAATAATCTTTCCTTAAATATAATGACTTGTTTGGCACACAATGAAGGGGTTGCCTTATCAAATGAGCATGGATCTTTGTATGTGAACCACAATAGTTGAAAGTACTCAGGGCTGGTAAGAGACAGCGAGCAGATTGGAACATATGATCTGATTCTTGGATCATTTTTATGACAATCTGATTTTGCATAAAGACTGTCGGTTCTGTTGTAAGGATTTAAAGTCAAATGAGTTTAGTCCAATTTTATCTTAGCAAGCACAACTGCATAGTTTAAAAGAGCCATCAGTAACTTGGCACAAAGCTAACAATCTAATTCACAGATGGTTGATGTGGGGAATGGAAATGGCAGCCTACTGCACTAATGTACAGTCATCTGATATTAGAGTCAAACCATTGTTGGGCAGTACAGAGATAGCATCAACCCAGCACTATGCTGCACTTGTAAAATACAATTTTCCATTGACGTTTTTCACCTACTGTCAGTTAATCATCTGTTAATGTTAAATATATTAACAGGAGAAATGCAACTTATAAGATACTTTCACTGTTAGAAAAATACATATTGGCATTTCCAATACACATTTTAAAGTACCTTATTGACTTCAGGTGCCATATTTTGTAATTTTCTCACATGGCCGAAACATTTTGCCTCTATAATTTCTGATGAGTATTTGTCCAGAATTGCCTAAGCAAACTACAGCTGTTGAAGTGCAGACAGCTAATGTTGAAATACAATATCAATCTGAATTTTTTTTGCCATAGTCAATTAGTATGAATTTGCAATAGTTTTAGTAGTTTTAGATAATGTATCAGGAGTTTATTTCTGGACCCTCAAAGTGGAAACTGTTCAATCAGACTCAGAAATCTCTAGTACTTGCTTTCATCTGTTTCAAACCAATTCTCAGGTTGTGACATTTCAACTAAGGTAAAATTAAAATGACATTTTAATGACTTTGTTTACTTTGATCTTTTTCAACATTTCTGTTCTGGTTCTGTGACACAATACAAATTGCTTTAACAGGGATCTGGAACCCTGAATGAGAGAGTTGTTTTTGTAGTCTGGTTGCTGTGGCAATCCTCAGCCTTCCATGAAACCATCATCTCCTGGGAAACAAACTTGTGCAGCTGTCTTTGGCCTATTGACTTCAAGTATGTCTATTATGGGGCCATGACAGAAACGTTTCTTCTGATTTTCCTGCCATTTTCAGAGTAGATGCAGACAAACAAGATGTAAATTGAGCCTGGTAGGAAATCTCAGGAAAAAAATCTCTTAAATCCATACGTAAACAGCAGTAACATCTGGTGTTTTAGGATTTACTACATTAAATAAAGTTACTCCTGCCACATTTTTTCTGTATTAAATGAGAAACTAAATATTATTAAAGATTTTTAGAATAACTTTATTTTGTCATGTCAGCTTTCCACATCTCTCCTTTCCTAATCCCCACTCCATAGCAAGGCGACTCTTTCTTCTATCTGCAGCAGTTCTGCTTCCTCAGAAAATATAGTTAACAGTGGAATTCATCCAACTGTTAGTAAAATTATGACCAGAAATATTTTCAATGTTGCTTCTCAAACACAACCGTAAAAGATTGTCTGATAGGTCTGGGAGTGCTACAGTAATGACTCAGGATGCTGCCTCGATGTGTGGTGTGCAATGCACTCTGATTTGCTAAATAAAATACTAATTAACTGGCAATGAAACATTATCTGGGAGATAGATCCTGTCTGGATGAATGGCGTCTTTTCAGACTGTTCCCTTTGGAAAGATCTAAAAGCAGAAGAGCAGAGCAGTCTGTGCTCAACAGCCAACACTGTAGTAAGGAGTTTTCAGTATGTTAACTTGACAGCATCAGAGTCTGAATGCAATTGGTACGATAGTACTTGGCCATCTGTGTATGGCATATACTTGCTTATAAGTACTGTATTTTCAAGATAAAATTCATAAAATGTTACTTGTCAATTAATATATAATTCAACTAATTGTGAATATATACAAGTAGCTTTATACAATAAGAACATATTTTAAGGACACCTGCCATATAGAACTGTATATTGATGTACACTCATTTGTTCATCACATGCTGAGTAGGCCATCTGGAATCGGTCAGTGGAGTCAAGAAGTTTCCCTATAAAACAATTGGCAAACAATTCACCAGAGCATGGCAGAGATTTGGGAACAACTCACAGACATATTCTCATGTTTGTAGGATGGTGTATAGTACCAGGGAAACCAAAGAGAAGGAAATACGTTTAAGAATTTGTTCTTTTTCAGTTTAACATATCAAACTCAAACCGTGATTCCCTTGATATTTCCAATTAGACATCAATATCACTTTTTTGTGTGTGTTGGGTGGGGATTAAAGAAACTTATATGGTTAACTTAGGCCAGGAAGGTTTGTATTACTGTGCCAATTGTTTTGTATTATTGTCTTCTGTAATCTTGAGTTTATATATAGTTTTTTACATTTATTCTCTTAAGGGTTACATACTTTATCTAAACATAACTAAAACAATCTGAATTTCAGAGATTAAATAAAGATTATATTGAAAACAATGCTCACTTTTGTAAGAAATTAAATTTACAGTCATTCCTTGAAGCCTTGGATCTATGCAAGGAACAGGAGGGGGTTCTGAACAGACCCCTAAAGTACCCTACTTATTTTGATCTAACTACCAAATAACTTTCCTCAGCTTCCTTCCCATCAGTCAGTTTTGAATCCATGACCATGCCTTTCCCTTGATACTCAGTGACACCAGTTTCTGAAGGGGTTTTTCATGTGCTGCTTTGTTGAGCATGTTTTGGAAATCTGCTAATATAGGACTCTGTATGAGTATGAATGTTACTGAAGTTTTCCTGTTTAGCAAAGCAGGAAGCTGTTCAGCAAGACAAATCATGATATGATCCATACTGTATAAAAAGGAGATCTTCATTTACTCCAAAGTGTTTTGAACAAAGAATTCTTGTGTTGTATCAATCTAAGGTGTACAGAACGAAAACAAAACTATAGCTAAAAGGCATGTGCTTTTATTTTCTAAATGTTTTAGTAGCTTTGAATACAGATTATCTTATTTCAAGCATAATTAACCCTACAAGAAATGTTGGATGTATAACAGTGTATAATTATTAAGCATATTGATCAAATAAAAATGAAAAACAGTTTAAAAAACGTTTGGCTGATTAAACATTTAAGCACAGTGTTTGCTTGTGGAAAATTTTAATTGTATGTGAAGGTATCAGTGATGAAAATAGCAGAAAATGATTTAAGTTGTACAGTTTGCTGTTTGGAATTTTTGAAACTTGGTTCAAAGTAATTTTTTACTTTTCATTTCTTCCCCAAAGGTTACCCTGAATTTGCGACCTATTTCATCTGTAGATGTCCATCAAAAGCCTTTGGTATTTGTCCTTAACTCCCCCAGAACAGTGACCTGGGTGATCAAGGCAGAGAGGCTGGCACCAGGAGTAAAGCGACTTTTCCATGTAAGTTGATTTAGTTCTTCCAAACATGCATAGTACAGCATATTTATTGCTGAAACAAAAGTTGTGAATACAAATCCCTACAGTGTACCCAATAAATATCTACTCATACTGTAGGGAGCAAGTAGATAATACAACTATGTTAAACATTAATAGAAAACATTGGAAAAGATGATTACATAGCAGATGATGCGTAAACTGAAATACTGTGGGGTTTAGTAGAAGAATATAATTTGTTTTCAGGTTAAAGTGGTAAAATACAATGCATTTTGCAGTAGTTAAATAGATTGTGTCAATATTCTACTCCCAATAGTAGTATGAATATATATGGTTTCCAGGTTCCCCTACAGTGAAATATTGCATGACCTTCATTTGTACATTCTTACATTATTAGGTTGAGTAATAACATTCTCATAGCTTTAAGGCCAATTGAGAAATGTTTCAAGTTTTAATCTAGTTTATGAAAAGCAGAATCCTTATAGGATAAGCCAAAACTACCACCAGGCAGTACTATTCAATAGGCACACACAATATATTATTGTAGTTGAGAAGATCTTCAAATTTTAGAGGGCATACTTACAGAATTGTCAAGTTGACAAATGGCGAATTAAAAATCAATCCAACTACTTATGAAGGTTACTCTCTGATACCTTTGTGAATCCAATTCATAGGAAATGGCTATACCCACAAAGCAAAACTAGGTTCCATTGGTGACTTGTAAAACACTTCAGTGTGCAAACACTAAAGATGCCTTACATACTACAGCTGTTTAAATGTCATTGACAGTTCCTCAAGGTTCTTAGCAATTTCCCACTCCCCACCAGTAGATTGAGAGAAGGTATCTACAAAAAAATTAGTCAATTATCAATTATGTTTGGAGACAGATTGCCACAGGAGCATAATTCAGCAAAACAAATGCAAAATGGCACCTCTTCTGTTTCTGTGAAGTCTATTCAAAGTTCAAATCATTTTGCAATTTGGTCGACTTGGCAGGTTCTTCTCCACCTCTACATAGCAATATAGTAATAAGGTAGTTTTTATTTAGATATTAGAACAGACTCTCTTAATACAACTTCGTACTAGTTTGTACCCCTCCCTCCCCACTTTCAAATCCTGCCTAAAGACCTACCTTTTCACCATGCTTACGGTCACCTTCCCCCCTCTCTCTACCCCTGTCAGACTCCGCCACTGTCAGCACTCCAGGACACTATCCCGCATGAAGTCGCTATATAAATGCAAGTTGTTATTGTTTGTGCTTGGAAAATGTCTGGGTTCATGATGAATTCTGGATATTCGATTTGGAAAAGAGAAATTCAAGCCTGTACAACCCTTAATCATTCAGGCAGTGTAATCCAAAAGTTTGGCTAGGAACCACACATATAAAAAAACTCACTTGGGAGAACATTTCAAAATATCTAAGATGGTAAGTATATTGTACTAGCATATGATGCTGTCCTAGCGTCTTTTACCCATCCCAAAAATGGTTTATGTAATGTCTGTCTGCATTAGCTGCATACCTGTGTCTGAAGGGATTGCAGCTGTACCCCTTACCTAGAAAACATGAGAACATACTCAGTAGAAGCAGCCAGAGAGCTGCACAACAGGCAGGCTCCCCTTTGAGACTATTGCGTCTTTTGGTAAATATAGAAGAATTCAAAATGAAAATTTAGTCAGTATATCACCTACATAGGAGTCGGGTTCCAGACAGTTTCAGAACTGGTTTTCATGCCAGAGAAATGCTTCCTGGACACTCAGAAACAGCTGGCATATTTATCGTCATACTGCAGGATTACAGCCAAATCTTATCTCAGTCTCTAGGCTGATTGGAGCAGCTATGTTTGTTGTCCATCTGGCAAATTATTTTTAAAGTTCAATTTAATATTTAGATACAGTTATTACCCTGTTCCAGTCTAAGTGAGTTGGAGATTTCATCTGTTTCAGTGGCACTGGGCAATTCAAGCACTGAAGGTCTAAAATCACAGTTAATTTACCCTATTGTGTTCTTTAGAAAGCTGTCTATTCAGGCTTTCAGCAATCACATTTGTTGCTTGTTGTTTGGTATCAAGATAGATGCTTTATCACAAGAGAGATTCAGATGAATTCTTCCAAAATCCTCATCTTACTATCTTCTCATTAGAGCATCACGTTGTTTGTGTTAAATAATTTTCCCATTGTCTGAAAAAGATGCTCGTGACTGATGTAATTGAAAGATCACTGTGCTCACCATGAATTAATAGATTACAGATACAATTCTCCTGTTTACAAAGTACATTCTTCACCATACTACTACAGAGAGGCAACATGTAGAAGCCAAAAATAACAATTTGGATTTATATGGCATTTACAGACAGTTGAAGGTATGCATCCAAACTGGGGTTGGGGCCAAGGTCGGTGGGGTGGGGTGTGGGAAGATGATCGAAGACGCAGTCAAAGAGGAAGGTATTGAGATGGATCTTGAAAGAGGCGAGCGAAGGGGTGAGGCAAAGAGACTCTGGGATGGTGTTCCAGAGAGCAAAGGCTGAAGGCCTTACCGCCGATGGGGAGATGTGAAGCAAGCTAGTGCCCGCCGAGCAGATGAAGCAGGTGGGTTGGTAGGGTTTTAGAAGGTCAGTGAGATGGGGCAAGACCGTGAAGGGATTTAAAGGTGAGGATCTTGGACTCAATCCTCTGGGGGGGTTGGGGAGTCGAGTGGAGCCGGGCAGAAATGGTTGTGATAGGGGACATGAGCTGCAGAGTTCTGTGACTGAATGGTCTGCAGTTTGTGGAGGGAAGAGCTGGGAAGTAGAGGGAAGAAGTAGGAAGTGTGGTGAACAGAGTTAGCGAAGTCCAGTCTGGATGTGCTAAACACATAGATATGGGTCTCTGGCAACCCAAGGGGAGAGGTAATGGTAGAGCAATGATGTGGCGATGAGGGAAAGCTGTGGATGTGGGATTTAAAGGAGAGTTGAGAGTCAAATAAGACAAACGAGCTTCACTGCAGGGGGAGAGAAAATTCTGCATTGAATCAACCCTGGGCCATTCTTGTGGACCTTTTTGCACTCAGTTCAGAGGAAAAATTGGCAAATGTATGGGAAAGTATTACCATCCGTTCTCTTGATAGCAGTTCTTAGAAAGCAGTGAGCATACAGGGAAATATTTACTGGACTTAGTGAATGATAACGTTCAGTAAATAATTAGCAACCGGTTACCAAATTATTTATTTTATGGATTACAAATTTTTGCCACAGAAATTATTCAAGATTTGATAAACAAATGATTTCCTTCTGAATACAGTTAACCCCCAGTTACCAGACAATGGGTATCCAGAATTCGGACCTAGACGGACTCGGCTCAAAATCCCCAATTTTTTAAATTTCCAGTGAGCAGCCCACCATCCGTTGCTGGCCTTCACAGTGGCCATGAATATTCACTTTGACTAGAGTTTGAATTCTGTGAGCAGAAGATAGCTTATTTGTTATCTTTTGCTTGCCGGAATCAAACAATTATAAGGCTGATACTGGCATTTACCAATATTTTCAAAACTCTCAGTGTTTGCATTGTTATTATACTAGGAAAGTGAGTATTCTGAAAAGAACCTCTCCTCTGATCTTGTTAGCATACTGGTTTTCAAAACGGTGCAGAGTACCTTACACTCAGTAATATTGTTGTTATTATTCCACTTAAATCTGCTATTACTTTTTTTTGTGAAGATGACACAATCAGCCTCTGACGCCTATATTACAAATACAACAACAACAAGATTGAATTTATAGAGCGCCTTTCACGTCGGGAGGACGTCCCAAGGCGCTGGGGATCTGTACGTTGCTGACACACTATTCTTTGTATCTTTCCAATAATTTTTAACAACAAATACCGTTCACTCTGATCTCTGTATTTTTAATTGCAAACTGCACTTGACATTCACTGATTTTAAAAAAAATGTACAAAAGAGCTGATTGAAATATCTGGATATTTAATTGTTTGAGTTTCATATTAATAATGATAAACGGTCTGATATTTCTTTGTTCTGCATCTTCCACACATGGCTGACCTGAAGAAAACAATTGACAAGTCATCATCCATAACACTTTATTAACTTTGGAATGTAATAACATTGTGACCTGCTTTACCCTCTCCCATGCTGTACGTGACAGAATCATGTGTTGGAGTAGCATTTTCTGTTTTCCAGCCAGATTCAATGATCTCTACTCTGTATGCACTGATTTTTGGGTTTGATTGTGAGGCGTTCACTTACTTTATATTTTTTTATGGTTCATTAGCAGTTTTAATATTTGGTGTTAAATTTGGAAAATTAGCATTGATTGATCAAATAAGACAACTGAATTCTGAAGAAATTAACATTTTTTTAAAAAACCTTTAGGTATGCAACAGTTAGATTTACTGACTTACAGAAAGATCGTTGTCTAGGCTCTCCAGAAGATCAGACCAGAATCCGCTCTTAACTATCCTCCTAACTGATCATTAATTGAAAGCTCAAAAATTCAACTGAAGCTATGACCTTACCTAGAATGGTATTGATTGACTATATCACAGATATTGCATGGCCCTGCAATTCTGTGGTTATGGCCATATGATAATGTAAAATATCTTAACTATGATTTATTTATTTTACATTGCACTATGCTGAACCTTGCACTTATTTTTTTTATTGCCCTCACACTAACACAGACAGATTTCCTAACAATAGTGTCCAAAGGTTGCCTCCACTTTACAATGTTTTGGCATTAATGAAGAAAGTGTTGGACACCAATCCATCTGTGTTAGATTTAAACTGTATATTTCGGTAAACCTTTGAAAAAACCATAAAAGAGTGGACTATAATAATCTTTGCATTTGATAGAGCGCTTTTCAGGTCTTCTAGACGTCTCAAAGTGCTTCACAGAATAGACTGTAAAGTGAATTGACTATATTTGTGGGCGAAATGTGGCAGCCAATTGCTCACAGCAGTGTCGCACAAACGGTGAATTGAAGTGAACAATTTATTATTGTTTTTTCTTGAGCAATTATTATCAGGCGTGTGGAATAAGGAAACTTGCCCAATGTTTCGCTGTTCTGAGAATCGAACCTAGGTCTCTCGCTTTCAAGGCAAGTGTTCTAACCACTGAGCTACAAGACTATGTGTAAAGAAGGAATCTAGAAGGGGGAGCTTCAAGTAGCAAAATGCTTAGAGTAACTGGGCATGGAGAAGTACTTGTTAAAGTAATAGAAAAAATAGTAAAAATAAATCCTGTTGAGAAATTTCTTCTCTATCACCCGCAAGCTAGGTTGCTGTTTTTCTCAGATAACCAGATTGTTAAAAGTAGCAAGGGAAAAGAAGGATTTCAAGCAGACTCTGTCTAGACCAGATGTAGGTGCATTAAGACGTAGCTTGTTGGACACGTGTTGTTTATCACTGGGACATGAAACGTACTGGAATTATTCCAGTAAGGCCAGTTGCTGTGGTCGAGGATCTGACTGCCAATTTTTAATCTATACTAGATTTTGGTGTCAGTAAGAGTTGTATTCCACTCATTCACTATTGTACAGTTGTTTATATTTCTGGACTGCTTTCACGTTTGCATTAGTGATTTTGTTTTAGTAGTTTCAGCCAAACGTTATGTGTACATATGGTAGATGAATGAAGGGAGACATTGTGCTGGATAAGCCTTGCTCTTTTGGAAAACAGTGCATCTAATCTGTGGTTGACAAAAAAGGTTCTCAGAAAACTGTGGCCTTGTCGCTAGGAAAATGCCGTTATGGCATAAACTGCATCTCCTGCAGGGAACTCCATGTAAGTCATGCTGAGTATCAAAAACAATCCTTGCCTCCAACTTCGAAGTTGAGGTCTTGCAAATCAGCATGATTCACATTTGATTGCTTGCTGGAGAAACAACTTGTGCTCCAAGAAGCTTTTTTCTGGTAATTGAGGGACCAGTACACAATAACTTTGCTAACTAATGAGTGCTTTGTCAACCTCAACACGAGACATGATAGTACTGGATTAACAGTGTAGAAAAGTGCTTCATTTTCTGCCTTTGCTATCTTACTTATTGATGAAAAATTCAATGCGAATAAATTCAATGTAAAAATAACCAGATTATTTTAAAATTTGGAACTCTGATTTGTGACGAGCCTTAAAGTTCAAAGGTTACTATAATTTATTTAGTATCTGATTAATAGTTTTATCACATACATTTGGAATATTGAATATTTATTGTCACTCAATGTAAAGATAAATAAATGCAGCAATATGATTTCATATATTGAAATGGGTTTTCCTCACTTACTGTCTCACACACGCCCACACACTGAACCTGGGTTAGCAACTGTTTCACCTTTTTTATTTCTCGTTCCCTCAGGTATCAAAAAATTCAAGTATTCGCTTTCCAACAAGAAACTTTACTATGTCAACTCCATTGAAGGAGGAAGTTCTGCCCCAAGGCAGCAAACATCTGCTACAATGGACCTTGAAAAAATATGGATCAGTGACCTCATTCACTGAACTAAACAAGGCTAATAACATCTACATCAAAGTGGGTGAAGGTGGGTAAATGCAGCTGTGCAATTGATGTATTTAGTGTTCCAAGCTTTCAGTAAATGAGACTTTTTGAAATTTTATTTCAGATACAAATTACCCCCTTTCCTTTTCTCAGATCACTTGTTGCCACCAACATGCATCATAGAGAAGAACTTTTTGTCACAGAATTATCTTGCAGCATATCTTCAGACGCAATTGGCAGAAGGTTGTGTGCTATCCAATCCAGGAGAAGAAAAGGAAATTCATATAGTTCAACTTGAATCTTCCACCTCTAGTCCTTATAGGTACATGATAAATTTCAATTTGTTTATTTTCTGATGATTCAACAAACTGTATGCAATGCCACTTAATACTCTTTTAAAATGTCAACAAATAATCATGGACAAGGTGTGGTGCAGGTAGCTGGTGATACTGCATAAAACTAGAAATTTAGCAAAAAAAGATCAATTATTTTTCTATTTAAAACATTCCGTGCTGTGCGACACTGAAAAATAAGTCAATGAATTAATCCTTCAAATGCACGATTATTTTAAAATTGAAATGAAATATTGCAACCTATTGTGTCATCACTTAAACATATTTGTAAAATCACTTAACATTTTTGGCATGTCTTAAACCAGGTTTTGTAAACTATGTGCGTCTAGTCTTGGTTAAATTTTTATTAGTTGGACAGAACCAACATACTATAGTCCCAGACAACTCTCGAGTGACCATTATTTAACAGGGAAGCTATGTTTTGTATTGCACAATTCTTGGAATTACATTCAACTTCAGTATACAGTTTATGATGCAGATAACTTCATTGTTTCCATTTAAGATAGAATAATTTTCTTAAACATTTAGAAGTTAACACCCTCCTCCCCAAAAAGCCCCCTTTTCAGCTTAGTTTTAATCTTTTTGAAATTTGTATCAAAGAGAAATTTACATGTAAAGTTAATTTTCAAGGAAGATTATACAGATAATTATACGGATCATAAAATACTGTTTGTGCAAGTCCTGAAAAACCTTAAAGCTTCTGAAAGGTTATCTATTAACCATGAGAAATTATAAATATTCATTTTAGACCATTTTTTTTCTAAATTGAGGTATATGTTTATCATATTCAAGAATTTTAGAAAAAAGTTCCTGAAAAATAGTACGTCCTCCTGACGTGAAAGGCGCGATACAAATGTAATTTTGTTGTTGTTGTTATGTATATGCATGTTTGTAGCATTTTCTATTATATTGTACATTGAAATAGGGAATTGAGAAAGTAAGCCTAAAACAAATGCTTTCAGATATGCCGAAGGCAGTGTGTTAAGTAATTTATGAAGCCCAGGTTGAGAACAGATCCTAACAAGTATTTCTCTATTCATAGGGTAATCAAAGCTGGAATGGGTTATTAGGAAGCAAATTTGAAACTATTCATACGCGATAGTAAAAAGCAGAAATGCACTTTTGTTCGTGATCAAATTCCACCTTAACAAAACCTTTCCTTTCAACAGCCACTAGCAAAAATGTGTAGTGTTATTTTGATTAAACTGTTGTGAATCATCTTATAATGTATATGGAGTAGTAGCCTGTTTGCACATGTACTATTGTCTGGGCTTAAATCCAACTTTTTAATCATCTGGCCAGACACTAGAGACACGTTTTGTTGGAAGAAGTTCAGGTTTAGTCAAATGTTTCTGGCATGCACTTTACTTTGCCTTAAATTGTTCCATAGCAGGGTTTTCAAGATGGATATAATTGTTGACATACGACCATTGGAAGCAGCCTCCAGTCTTCACAAAAATATTTTGCTTGTCCTCAAATGTGAGAAGGCCGTCAATTGGGTAATCAACTCACGTGACATTTATGGAAAGCTGGAAGTAGTAGTAAGTATTTGAATTTTAAATGTTGTAGATTGATGACTTCAAACTAGAGACCAAGCTAAAAATAACAAACAACTTATGTTCATATAGTGCCCTTTAGGGAGGAAAATATCTCAAGAGCACATCAGAGATGATTTTGGATGCCAAGTATTGAAGGGGAGAGGGGAAGGTCACCATAGACGTAGAAGACTTTGGTTTTTAGATTGGATTTATAATCCTTGCATTTGATGTAGCACCTCATCGAGACATTTCAAAGTGCTTCACAGGATTTGACTATAAAGTGTAGCAACTATATATTTGTAGGTAAATATGGCAACCAATTTGCACACAGCAGTATCCCACGAACAACCATGAAGTGAACGACCAATTTATCTGATGGATATAAGGAGAAACTCGCTTCTGTTTTAAAATAGTACCAATAGAATTTTTAATATCCATCTGAAGAGGCAGATGGGACCTTGGTTTAACATCTCATCCAAAAGATGATACCTCAAAACAGTCCCAGCACTGTGTTGGAGTGCCAGCCTAGATGGTGTGCTCAAAGAACAGATGGGCTTGAATCCAAAACTTGACAAGGAGGTGAGAGTGCTACCAACGAACCAAGCTACAGATACAGGCAAGCAGGAGGGAAGGAGGGAGATCCACAACTGTCAGCCATGGCTGAACAATCGTTTACTATGTCCCGAATGTCTGGAACTGCCTTCCTCTACCCCAATCTTATCTGTTCTTAAATCCCACCTAAAAACCTATATCTTTAACCTTTCCCTTACCTCCTCACTTCCTGCCTTGCTCAGCAACCGATCTTTGTGAAGTGCTCTCAAACATTAGCCTACATGAAAGTATATACGCAAGTTTGTCGTGTTAACAAAAAAAACTTTAAAAATGTAATCTTCCAAACAGTTCTAAAAACGAAAATAGATGTGTAAAGAAAAATCTACTTTGGACCAGCAAAATACGATTTTCTATCTTTTCTGTGACATTCAAGAGTTACTTGAAAGAAACTCAGTAATATTTGGGTGATGATGTGCTTTAAACCACAAATTAAGTTAATTCTTGCAAAGCCATGGTATTTTTCACAACATCAAACTGGATAATTGAAGAGTGTAATGTGAAACCTGGAGTATAGTACCAGCAATGTGCATTGGTTCCCTTGGGCTTTTGAGTTCTACATTTTCAAAAAAAAATTACAGCTTATCTAGGTTTGCTCTCAGGGGTAAAGTTAATGCTTTTCTTGTTGATACATGTTTCCATCCTTTTCTTAGCTTTGTTATTTTATCTAGAGCTAAGGGCCTCTTTCAGATTTGGGAAAGTTGTGGAGCCCCATGCTGCAAAAGATAAAAAGAAAGTTTCCATTTTGAATAAGTTCCAGCAGTTATGGAATGTCCTAAATTATTATTCATATCTTGATTGATTTAAAAAGGGAAAAAAGTCTAGATGGAGTATTTTGTTGAAACTATTCCCCTGATGCAGCTGAAAAATGATTTGCATTGACTAGGGAGTTTATCTGAAGCTTCCCTACCTAGAAGAATTGTATGAATACAAAAAATCAAAACTGGAATACATATTCAAATCTCTAAATGCAATGAATTTTGAATAGAAAACACCACTCATTAGATTTGATAAATGAAACTTGATTGCAAGGTGATTATTTAATTGCTGGATACCAAAGTATAAATGTGTCATCAATACCTTTTGTTGAGGATTACCTCACATGCCTAGAATTTATTTTGGACATGTCAGAAAATCTAATTTTCAGGACTATTCTGTTCTGACTCGTAAATTGCGGAGATTTGTTCTAAACCTCCTGTTTATACAGCTCTATATAGTAGTTTCACACTTAACCCAACAGTATGTAAACCAAAAGGAAATTGTTTCTTCGAACACAGCAGCTGAAGAAAAGTTCTTACAGATTTATTTTTGTCTTGTCAAGTCATGGATTTCTTCATTCTTGATGTAGTCAAGAGCATTCAAAAAATCCTGGTTTGTTTAAAACCATTGAATCTAATTATTTTATGACTCCTTTTCTAAACAACTGATAAAATCCAATATGTAGGTTTTCACTTTTTTTAAAAAATTACTTGCCAGTGTTAGAGACACCTGTTGCCGTGCTGCATGCCAGAAAGGCAACTGTCAACCTTTTTATTGGGAAGAAAGCCAAGTTTCCTAACAACTAAATTATTTTTTGGTTAACTGGATTGTGAAATCGTGTCAGGTCTCTTTAAAAAGTTATTTATCAAAATAGAGCTTCTTATCTGCGTGTGAAGATATAGTGCCATAATTTTGCTTTTAAACAAATTTAGCAGTATAGTGTTCCCACAGTTTGATTACTTGACATGGTGTGGGAAGAATGAAGAATGCAGCAACACGAGTTAAATGCCTCCGAGAATTGGAATGGGACTGTGCCAGTCATGACAATGCACTTCTGAAACCAGTATTTGTTCAGCTGTCTGTCCACAGCATGAAATCAATGTCATGCAGAAGGGGAAATTGGGCAACTTGATTTTAGGTGATAAATTCAACTATTCTTATTACAAACATATGTTGAAATTTGACCTTTCTTTAACAATGAATCTAAACGGAGGAAACAGAGAGGTAATTCTACCTGAATGAGATATTGGATCATGAACGAAAGTTTTAAAAACATTAACAGCTGAAATAAACATAAAGAAGCATTACATTAAATGATTGTCAAACTTATTAGAAAAGAAACATGAAATGAATAAGTTAATCACAATTACAAAGAGGAATCTATAGTAAACCTAATAATTTGACACTGAAGAAAGGAGAGATCAACGTCTCATCAAAAGGGGAAGTGAATGAACATTTATAGGTGAAGTATGAGGGTGTAACGCTTTAGAAATCCTGAAGGAGAAATTGAATAATTAACCGTGATTGTGGTGCTCATGAAAACAATACAACCACAGTGGATGTCTGAGCGGATTGATGAATCCGTGGGAATTTTCAGTGGGAAAGGATTAAATTTTGGTCACAATAAGGGCAAACAAAATGAGGAACAAATGGGGAATTTAGTAAAGATACACTGCATTATGCCTGTGAAATGATCATGCATTTCAATGAAAAACATTATTTGAAGCATGAAATTTATATCGTGTGTCATTCTGCTCAGAATGGTCAGACTGCTAAACAAACCATAAATGCATCTGTTCCATGTGGCTTTTCTTTGAGAGAAAGAGTTTATTTTACTGAATATTACTAATTTGGGTCAATTATTTAGACTCGGGAGATTTTTTGTGTGTATTGAATTGTGGTTGAGAAGTAATAATTTATACCCTTCTCATTCCCCCCACCCCCAATGTACACACAAGCACTACACTGTATAATTATTGTAGCTTTTAAAGCTATTGTAAAAAATATCTTTGGAGGTTCAGGTAAATATACAAATTATTTGTCGAAGTGGGGCTAATAAAAAAAGCATTACTAAATGGTCAATTTATTCTACCAAATTCCAAAAATGTGCAGCATCTAATCGAGAAACAGGGACAAAATGCACCACAGGTCCCATAGCTCTTTGCATGATTTGTATCCATGAACAAACACAATATGAATTTGAGGCTGTTCATTTGTTAAATTGGTTGTAAAAATTGTGGTTTTCATCATGGTAGTTAGTTCTTGAAAGTTATATATGGTCCTTAATTCCACCTGCTTGAGATGGAATTAAGAGTTGATGGACAGCATGCTCCCACAAAATCCCTCTTCTCTAGCCAACCTTCAAGAAAGGTTGAGTACCATTTCTACCCTCTGATAATATCTTTCTTGAAACAACCACCACAGCACTTTCTACTCTGCAAAGTTCTGATTAGGAACCAATATGAGCTTATGTGATATTGAGTTACAATGCTGTAAACACACACCATCATACCAGCCATTAATTTACGTTCATTGTGGTAAACATTAGCGGAAATGTACAAATGGGGAAAGTACGTTTTCATGATAGATTAATGTATTTTGCACTAGTTTAATCAGCATTCATCATGTAAGAAATTCTGTTTTGAGCCAGCAGCTTAGATTGGGGTAAGATTTGTATCACAAAGTTGTCTCAGTAAAGAAACTGATGGATTTCTGATGCAGGAAGTTGCAGATAACATCTGAAGCATGGTTCTGACAGTTGGGAGTATAGGTTTTGTTAGGGAGATGTGACAATAGATAATAGCTGCCTCGAGCTGTAATACATTATGAGAAACAAACTAGTTAAGATTAATTAACCTTCTCTTGCCCTCAATTTATTTTCTTAAATGGACATCCAGATGCAAAATTGCTTGTACATGTGTTTTTTTTATTTGAAGATAAGCAACTAAATTATGTAAGTAATTTCAAAAACTATTCTAAACATAAATAAAATATCTTTGCTTTATCAAATTATTTATGAATTAGATTAGTTCTATGACAAAAGATAGCAAATTCTATAATTGAGCAATAAAAATTTGTAGCACAAAAGGAAGCCATTTGTCCCGTTATGCCTGTGCTCGCTCTCTAAAAGAACAATTCATTTGGTCCCATTCTACTGCCTTTTCCCCACACTCTCAACAACAAGACCACCACCAACAACAAAAACAGAGCCTTTAAGTAGGATACTACTACTAGCAAGGCAGGATTGGACACCGAAGATGGGGGTAAGGGGAAGATGATCTTAGAAGTAAGTTTTTGGTGGGATTTAAAGACAGAGAGAGTGGGGGTGGGCAGCCGCAGTTCCAGAGGATAGGGAATTAGTTGATCAAGGCTGAGCCACCAATGGTGGTATGGAGGGGGATATACAGCAGTTAGTTGAGCAGAGGGTTGAGCAGAAGAGTGGGATAGGAGAAGGTGACAGAGACAGGGAGATGGTAGGACCCTGACGTCAGTCTGTTGGGATTCCCAATAAAAGCAACAGCCAGAAAGAAAGTAAATAGCTTATTTGTGTCAATTTATTTCCATCACATCCAGGCCTCTGACAGCATCAACATCAAAATCAATCGGGAGATGGAAGGCTTGATGACTGTGAAGAAAGAAGTATTGCGAAATCTGAAGTCCAACTACATTGATCTTATAAGCTGGGCACAAGAACGTAGTCACAGTCGTATCACTTCCTATACAAAAGTTGGTGTTGCAAACCAAATTCATTTAAGACTTCAAGAATCTGGTAAGTTTAGTCATTGCAAATGAATAGATTGCAAGAATGGGATGTCTTAGTAGCAATAACAGTGTAATACACAAAACAACAAGATTACATTTGTATAGCGCCTTTCATGTTGGGAGGATGTCCCAAGGCACTGGACAGTGTACAGCATTTCAGACCCGGGCTGGGAGGGGAAGGGGTTGACCGATGGCATGGTCGAAGAGGAGGGTTTTGAGGCAGGACTTGAAGGAGGCTACGGAGGGGATGAGGCGGAGTGATTGAGGGATGGAATTCCGGAGGTTGGGGGCAGAGTGGATGAAGGCTCTCCCGCCAATGGTGGGGCGGATGGGTCGGGGGATGTGGAGCAGGCCGGAGCCGGCTGAGCAGTTGGTAGGGGGTTAGGAGGTCGCAGAGGTAAGGTGGGGTGAGGCCATGGAGGGCTTTGTATGTGAGGACCACGATCTTGAACTGGATCCTCTGAAGGATAGGGAGCCAGTGGAGTCGGGCGAGAATGGGGTAGATGGGGTCATGGAGTTTGGTGTGGGAGAGGACACGGACTGTAGAGTTCTGGATTATCTGCAGCCTGTGGAGGGAAGAGTTGCAAACATGGTTTTGTTAGCAACTTGTGGTGAAGTAGTGACTCACTCTTTAAATTTTCCTCAGGAAGAGGCAAGCTTTTACATAGCACCTCACCTAACCACATTGATAAAACAGGCATTTCGTTGAAATGCCGAAACCACATTGTTAATCACTACAGCAGACCACGTTGCCAGAGTGGAATCAAACGGGACAACACAATATTTGGCCTGTTTCCACAGGCTCAATCTGGCATACACCTGAGCAAGGCACTTTGAATAAAATTTCCTGTGCGGTAATCTTTTTCTTTACCTAACAGGCAATCCAGTTTGTTATTCGGTTTCTGTGAAGTGCAGGTTGAATGTGTCAAATTACACCTTGTTGACCTTCCAAAAAAATATTGTATGCACATGTTAGTGGTTGAGGAGCGGGGGAGGTGCAGGAGTTTGAGAGAGAAAAAAAATCCTGCAGAGTGGTAATTGAAAAGTGAATGAAGTAATTATACTATGACTGTCCAGCAATTTAAAGTCCCGCAAGGCAGCCTGCCCCCTTCCCCTCCTGCTGCTTTTCCTAGTCTGTTGCAGTGGAAATCCAAAGCTATATATGTGATAGAGTAATAAAACTGCAATTGGCTTCTGCACCCCCATTGTAGGTTGTGGAGTCTATCCCTCTTTCACCTTCCTGCCAAGTTTCGTGGTATTCATTGCTGATATATATTGTACATATATCACCTTGTTCATCTACAAATGGATCATTTTGTAGTGATTTAAGGGTGAAACGCTATACCATGTTAAGATCTTAAATTGTACTTTTCCCCCATTAAAGGGTTCTCCTTCAAGGTTGATAAAATAATAAGGAAAACTTTTAATAGAAAGTATGGTATACGAAGTTTGAAAATTCTACACATTAAAATTTTAAGATAATGATGTTACCGCTATCATTGTGAATCATTTCGAGCCTCTGACCTGTGAGAGCACCTCCATTTTTCAAAAAGAAATACAAACATTACACTTGTTTCAAATCTATTTGACATAACACAGATTGCTAAAAGTGCAATAAGAATGAATTTCTCCTTTATAAAAAGTGAACATACTTAAATTTCAAACAATATTTGGGTTTTTCATGGTCTTCAGTTATTTTATTGTTTGGGAATTAAGTATTAAAAATAAAAATATTTAATTAAAAAGGATTTAAAAACCATTGTTCTTTTTCTCAACAGTTCAACAAGATGAGGCAAAGTCATTTTTTCCTCCAGAGTTTGAAATTCTCAGAGAGCCTCTTCAATTTCCTGGACAAATGTTTCCTGAACAAAAGTTACCTCAAATTTCAGACTCATTTCGATTTCGATTTCCCTTTGGAGAAGATTATGACAAGGGAGACACAATCCATGAAATGCCACAAAGGCCCTGGGACGGACCTCTTGAAAAATTGATGAAGAAAGGACTAGCTGAACCAGAGGAGGTTCAGGCCATCGATAACGTGGTACTGTCTCTGCGATGTGAGGATCATAGAATGATAGTCGCAGTTGAAAAAGACAGTTTGCAGGTTTGTTTCCCCCAATGGCTTCTCTTCTCACCCCGAGATAGTCATCTGCATCTACTTGTTTTCCTTTGAGGGCCGCATCCGCATGGAGTCGGTTTCCTCATGTCTGTAGATGACACCCAAATCTACATCTGTACTTCTACCCTTGATGTCAGGTCCAGTGATGTGCTGAACATCTGTTGCTCACACATCAAGTCCTGGATAAGCCTCAACTTTCTTCAGATAAAGATGGACGAGTTGGAAGCCATCCTTCTCGGCTCTTGGCCACACCTTTCCTCTGGCTCCAACTTGCCCAATCTTCCTGATTTCTCTCTTCCCAACTCACTGAATGCAATTTTGGTTCAAGCCTCAGTTATCTTTCCATCCTCACATCTGGTCCTTGACCAGGACCACTTTTCTTCAACTTTTCTGCCCGTTTCCATTCTATATCATGCTGCCAAAACCCTCATCCATCCCTTCATCCCCTCCGGACTCAACTTTTCAAATGCCTTCCTCATCAGCCACTATCCACAAACTCCAGTTCTTCCAAAAGTTTTTTATTCGCATCCTTGCCTACATGAAACTTTGCATGTTCATTACACCCATCATTACCAGGTTTCATTGGTTCCCTATCTCCCAACAGATCAGCTTCAAGATTCTTACCTTTATTTAAAAAAAATTTAAAAAAAGCTTTCCATACTCTCCTGTATTTTCTACCTTACATTTTCTTGTAATGTATAGTTTTTTTCCCAAGTGTTGGGCAAAAGCAGTATGGGACATAGGCTTCTCTACAATCAGTGAGACTCCTTGAATAATTTGAAGCAGTTGAGATTTGAGTAGGGCATGTCAGACTACATTATTCTTCCCACTCTACCCACCCAATGGAACACTTGCATCTGGAGGATGATTTCATCTTGTGCCCTAGTCAAAGAAGCACAGATTGAAGATCTGGATCGGGACATGAGCTCACTGTTTGTAACTGCTTAGGTATTTGATTTTGTAATGTGCTGACAAACAAACAGGAAGTCTACATGTTTGTTACCAAAAGGTTTAAATGCAGTTCAAGAAAAACCACATTTAATTCTGATTATACAGGACCTTGTTTAATCAGGCCATCTGGAAACAATATTTCAGCAGCCATATTAGAAGCAAAGTGCAAAAAATGGATTTCATTGAAAAACTGGTTATCAATTTGCCTCTGATACAATTTCCTGTGCGTTATGTGCAGAAAGCAACCTTTTTTTTTGTCACTCGTTGTGCATGTTCGTCAATTGAAGCATATATCAAAGTTACTACACTTAAGAGCAAGAGGGATTTCACTCCCAAGACTTCTGTTGCCAGCACAGCAAGAATTAAAATGTAGTTGTTTTGTTAGGTGCTGACAAGAATGAAAGAGATCAGTGTGTTCATAATGTGAACATATTTATGCGGGCCAAAATAACTAACCCTACGTTCAGCACCCTGTAAGAAGATTGCATGTTTTAGTATTTATTTCTCCCCTGCAGATGGATACTTCTACAGTGACACAGGTTTCTCTCTTGGATCCTAAATGCAAAGCAAAGGAAAACACTACCCATTACATTTTGGAATCCTCACTCACAAGCTGTGACACTAGCAAGCATACATTCACAGATGGTTCCACTATTTACCTGAATTCAGTAAGTAAAACAGAATTTTTTACAATGTTTTTTAATAATGTGTATACATCATCATTCCCCACTGAATATAAACATCATTTGAAGTTCTGAAAGGGAAGAATATTCTTTTGTTTTGATATGTTGAATATTGCTTCATGGATTTTCAAATGATTGTTAACTGAGAATTGTTTAACAAAATGGCATGAGATATTTTCCATTCAAAAGCAGATTCAGAATAATGCAAGTGATCAGTCTGTTATGTAGGATTACCTCATTTGAATGGCTCAGTCAAATTGTACAAAATGGCTCTAGATTATGAGATATTTAGGGGCCTTGCCAGCCATCGACTTCACATTAGCCATAATTAGTTTCTCAATAAAAGGGATCGTCAATTTACGTGTCACGGGATCGTTGTTAACTGATAAGTGCTAGTGGGTGTTATATAATGTTACTTTAATACACTCTAAATAAATGAGCTATCCTATACACTATTTTCCTTGGGAAGAAAAATAATTCACTGTTAAAATTCTTATGGTACAGTATTTAAATTAGAATGTTTATATGAATGACTATGCAAATTAAATAGGAAAAACAGGTTGGTGCAGAATTGTAATTTGTTTTGTACTCACTATTAGATTGTTGTACAACTGGACTACCCTGCTGAGGGAAGTGGCTGGTCTACAGATTACGAAGATGGAGAATCAGGAGATAATGGCATGCTTGAAGATGGAAACAGACCCCAAACTGTTCTGGTAACATGCATACTACTTATCTTTATTTACATTGTAAAGTATTTTGTGTAAATAAATGGGTCAGGAGAGTTGAGCATGCTTTTCCCTAACTTTGCAAGTGTAGTGGGCTTTCAAATTTGCAATCCTACAAATAAGAACTGACATTACATTAACCTTTCAGCTGTAAGTCAGTGTATTTTGTAAATATAATGATCCCTTATTGTGTTCCATAATAGCTTTAGCCTGCTGGTGTCAATTGGTATTTTAGAGATTGAGACACTCAACGATGAGTGTTGATGTGATTTAAGTTAATTAGATTCATTCTCCATTACTTGGCTCAACTAGTAGTTTTAATCCATCGATGTACCAAAGTTTGCAAATTGCCACATTAACACCTAAATAGCCACTTTCTACTTGGTGGTGAATTGTAATAAAATTATCTGAATGTCCAGTTAATTATCATTGTGTAAAAATAATAAAGCAAATTGAAATGATCATCAGTCTTTCAATTATACATCAGAGAGCTGATTATCCAGACAAATTCGAATTTGCTCCAATGTGGATCAGCAAATAATGTGGATAATTGGACATCACGCAAAATACAAATTGTCTACAGTATTAGCTAGAAAAGCATTCCGTCAGGAGTTAAACTGTCATTAGTATCAGTCAGCCCATCCGTCTCTGTCTCAAACTCCCTCTCACTCAGCTGCCGATCACTTTTCTCTCTCTGCATTCCTTCTCTGACTCTCTCTCGAAGTCCCGTTCACTCTGCCTTTCTCTCCCTCTACGACTTAATCTTAATCTCTTTCTCTGACTCCAACATTGTACAAAAGGATAAACACTTTAATTTACATGACTAATGCAGAGCAATTTAATTGCATCCCTAGCAACTTCACACATGCACACAATTAGATTGTTTTGTCCATAATCCCACAGATTACTTCTGAATTGGAGCCCAAGGCAGATAAACAAACACATTGATACTTGGATAACCGGCATCTTAAACAAAAAGGTTGATCCTAAGTACAGGGCGACTTTGTTATAACATGTGTTTTAGGCCCATAAAATTAAAATTAGTCCCATATGATAGCGGTTGTGTAAGAAATAAGGCCCATGAGTCACCTCTCTAGGTTTTCAGGTCACAGACCATGATTCTGGGTCTGAAAATGTTTATGTGAATAGTTGTGGCTGATTGATCATCTTCCTGTGCGCAGTACATATGTGCAGGAAGCTAGCCTGTCTATAATGAAAACTGGAATTATACCACACTTCCAGTAATGGTGATCATACATGTGATCTAGGCAGAATATTAAGGGGGAGGGGGTAAAACACCTTGTAGCCCATTCTTTACATTAATCTGCTCTGAATGGACTTTGAACTTCTGTAAACTTCTTCTAATTGACTTTTTTTGATCAGCAGAACAGTTTAGTAATCCTTATTTGTGACTTTGTTACCCACTGTAAGAGTTTACAGAAAAACATTACATGTAAATAACTACTGTTGTTATTCTAAAGCAATACTTTCATTTCTGTTTAATAGTTCAACTGCACGTACGACAACCCTAACAAAAGGCCTAAAATCCATTTGCAAGCTGCTTTCCCTAATTTGCCTCAACGCAGCAATGCGACTTTGAGCATGGATCTATATACCACAGATTTGTTTCGCACAGCCTCACAAGGAGTACACACTGTGTCAGAAAACCGACCATTATTTGTTGAGGTAAGAAGTTTGGCAAAGTTGGAAGTGAGCTGAAATATTATGTGGTTTTAGCTCAGCGAAGCATTTTATTTTTGCCAATGGTCCAAGTGCTAGAGTGGACAGAGGGGTGGTTTGTGGTTTATATTTCTTTGATTTATAGGAGAAAACTGTTGGGAATGATAACTACAAGTAACTGTGTGGCTAAGACAAAGACATTATTTTAAGCATGGTAAAGCCACCATAATTCTATACCAGATTGTTGTTGTGCTTATAAATTCTAGGAATCATATGCCACATATTTATGATTCTGTTGAGAAAATATTCCTTAATTTATAGAACATTACAGAACCTCTGGTGCTGTTTGTCAATTGTTGATTTGCAAGTATTAAATGAGAAAAAGACTACACTCAAATCCATTCACAACAAAAAGAATGTGCACTTTACCATTTTTTAAATTAAATGTAATTTTCCTAAATGCCCGATATCCACAATAATCGCTTGTTGCTGTGAGATCATCTTTGAAGTACAACGTAAATTGTAATGTACCTTTAAGCAATATATAAAAAAAACTGTGGTCCCATGAGAGCATCTTGGTGAACTATATTTGAATGCACGGCATCAAGAATCTTTCTTCTGCTGTATAACTGCCTCCGGATTCGATACCAGATAAAACATTGTACTAAAGTTATTGATGATTCACAAGAGAGGTTTGGTTGAAGAAGGACCTTTGGCCCATTTCATCTCAATCTTGCAGAATACCCAACCTACAGTCTTTCCATCATAGCATCAAGCTGCTTATTTTTAATCATGAATCATGGCCTCAACTACCTTTGCCAGTAACTTGTTCTAGTCATTAATTTGACCTCTACATGCATACATGTATGAATAGATAAATAGAACTTGTACTTATATAGGGCTCTTCACCTAGAATGATGATCTGAAAGCACTTGATAAAATGTAATGGGATCTTTACTAAATATTTTTCCCCCTGTATGGATTTAGGTTTCCATAACAAAGTCTGATCCAGAAATCAGTTTTGTTATCCAGTCTTGCTCAATTTCTCCAACATCAGACCCTGATGCTGATTCCAGTTACATCATTATCGAAAACATTTGTCCAAAGGAAGATTCTGTGAAATTCTACAGCACTCGGAAGATGGATTTCCCAGTAGCTCAAGAAGAGATGGAAAACAAACGGTTCAGCTTTGTCTTTAAACCAATCTACAGCATGCCTTTAGTTTTTCTACACTGCGAAATTACTTTGTGCAGCAAGAAAGAAGCTGATGGCGCAGGAAATTCCATCCTTCCTAAGGTTCGGCTATTGCATTCTGTGCAGTTATATTATCAAATATAAAATGATCAGATCTGAAGAAGATTAATTTAAACATTAATCCAATTTTAAAAAGAATAGATTTTTCTTTAGCGACCTTTAGAACAGTTTTTTCCCTGATTATCTGTGTTCAGTAATACTCTAGTTTCAAGGATTCAGAACACCTATCAAGTTGAAGATAAGGGAACATTTATCTTAACAAATTATGGTAGTTTGGGTTAACAGCACTACTAAAAAAAATTGTTTCAATCCTTAACAATTCCCCAAAATCCTATTCAAAAAAAATAATTCCCAACTGTAATTGTTACATTCTGACAATTCACATTGTTAACCCTCATTGCTTGCACAATGTAAGTTTGTGTCTTGAATGAAGCACGACTCTTTCCCTGTACTGATGGGTCAGAACTACCCAGAATTAATATTTGCCTCAAGAGCAGACCTGAAGTTCAATTGAGACCACGTGTTGCTCTCTTGGAAAAAATAACTCAACAGTAACTCCCAATATTCTCTCTAAACCACCTTCCAAAATCCTTATCATCAATCTATGGAGAGATTGCATTGCCATCTCACTCACTGTGCAACTACCTTGTATAATGAGTGAGTGAGATGGTAATTCAATCCGTCTATAGAGATCTGGAAACCAACAGTGCATTTCAAACAGCAGGAGATTGGAATGTTGAAGCTTTAATCGGTGATAAAGTTTTCAACTCAAGCTGCTTCGTAAAGTGCAACTGGTCCTGACCAATGCTGATAACACTGCAGCTGTGAGCCTGAACATCCTTGACCTACTTGATTTGTTTGCCTCCTTCTGCAGTGCATTCCTCCTGATGAAGCTTGTATCAATGTGAATTTGAAAACAATTATGGCTATGATGAAAAACAAACAGTCTTTTACCAAGCCACTGGCTGTTATTCCTGGGAAGGTGATCACACAAGGTGAGCCAACAACTAAATCAGAAGGACAATGATCTTTCTATATGCATCGCTTTACATGGTCAGTAAATACAGTAAAACACGCTTCAGTGTTAACTTTATAAATTGTATAATCGCGTAAGGCATATAGGAACTTGAGTCCCATTCAGTTTCCTATCAAAAACAATTAGATTTATTTGCACTAGTCACATTTTATAAACAAATCATCTCCTAACTTGTAATGCCTCTCCCCTGTCCTCCATTACGCCAGCATTTATTGGCTGCATTGAATCGCGGGAAATTAGTTCCTAACCTATCAACGCGGCTGCATTGAATCGTGGGAAACGTAGGCTTCATTGAATTAAACATGTGCAGTGCAAATTATTGATTGAATCAGATTTATACAACTTACAAGTTTGCTTTTATCTTGGACTTTGGATAAGTCATATACATTCACAACTGATACGACTTACGTGAGTTTTACTGTAGTACTGTAGCTTTTCCACTGGATGCTCAATATGTCGAGGACAAATCAAGAGTCAAATCTAGATATAAGCTATTTGGAGAAGAGGTTATGTTGGCCTTGTCTGGTACTGGACTCATGCCGAGCAGTTCAGTTTTTAAGATCACAATGTTCTGTGATATCCTGTAATTCTCTGCTCAAACATTTTAAGCAGATAATTGAGTTACGTAAGAGCAAAACTTTTACTGCTTTTCTGTTTATTGTGATTTTACCATGGAAAAATAAGCACATTTTAAGTCGCTGTTCTTATTGATCCAAAGACTGCATTATGGTTATAAGTTTGCAAAAGCAGATATCTTGTTCTGTTATGTCATAATTGTTACCTATTTTAGTAGAATCCATTCTTAATTTTTTTCTAGTGTTATATAACCGGTTTTCTCTGCATTTTTGAAAATATATGTAGTTTGAAGGCTGTAGAGCATCATATGTTCATGTGATTATAATTAGTAGAATCCTGACATCAAACAAGCATTGGAATTAAAACTAGCTCATGAGAAAAAAAATTCAGCTGCTGAGCAGATGAGTGATTTACTTTGAATTCTTATAGTTTTGAAGTATTTACACATAGCATGATATTAAACTAAAAAGCAGCATGAAATGAAGCTGGACCTTAAAGCAACCCATTCACCTGAACCGTTGCACACTTCTGTGCACAGATAGTAAGGTTACAGAGTTCAGAGGAAATTGAACAATAATTTAGTGGTGTATTATGATTAGTGTATGATCATACATATGGTCTTTGTTGTGCAAGGATACAATAATAATACTTGCATTTGATATAGTGCCTTATCATGTCTTCGAGATGGCTCAAAGAGCCACAATATCTTGATTCACACTCATTAGCAAATCAAGGGAATTTCAGCCCATGTGGATAAATGAAGGTGAATAAATCATGGGTATAACTCATCTTTTGCTACATTGTAGCTGTATGTAATTTATATGTGTGTGTAGTTTTGTCTTAATTTATTAAAATGTTTCACATAAAGGAGCTGTTTTGTTTAGGTTATTATGAATGTTTATATGTATTTTTGTTTGATTGAAACAGAACCACGTATGAATCCAGGGAAGCCACAGCCATGTAAGTTAAATGTTACCTTTTATCATTTATTAATCGTAGTTCCCTGTCAGACAAGGTTAAATTTGTGAAAATCATTATTAATAACAAAGGAAATTAGAAACAAAGCCCAAATAATATAACCCATCTGATAATAGATTTCTGCTTTGTTCTAAATTACGCTTTCCAAAGCTGTAAACTCTTAATTTGGACAGGATGGGAATCTGGAATATACAAATATTTAACTCTGTTCACAAATTTTCTCTGCACTTTGCGATTCCAGTTTTTCCAATCTTATCCTCTGTCTATTAATAATCAATCATTAAAGTGTTCATGATTATCTTAATAATTGTGATTATTAGTTCATTTTTGACGATATTGCATTGTGAATAATTTTTATGACTAATTTCACACCATGCTGAAATTTTACCTTTGAATTTCACTATCACACTAGGAAAGTATGTAAAATGATCTAGATAGAGTACTAACTGAAGCACTCAGAATACTTATTTGGTTTTGCATCCCAGTAAATAGCCTCTGTACCTGAAGAATAAATGAAATATTCAACCCAGTAAAAACATTAAAGGCAATTCAATTACATTACACAGTAACTGGCACCTATATGTTGCATTACTCTGGTTTGATAACAATTTTAGAAGCTTTGCTTAAATGACATGCATTTGAAACATTTATATAATTGCATAATGTGTCATATTTTTATATTTCAGATATCATTTATGGCCTGGATACTCCAACAGTTGTGGGAATTGCTTTTGCAGCATTTGTGATTGGTGCCTTATTGACAGGAGCTTTGTGGTACATTTACTCCCACACAGGTACGTCAATTATACCTAACCATAAACCTGCTCATCCAAATTGTGCTTACAGAAAATAGTTATTCTGATTTTGAGGGGAAGGAGGGAAGTGGAAATGATGAATGAACTTAGAAAGTTCTAACATTAAATACACTTGGAGACAGTAAACCCCCCTTTAAGGCATATGTTATAAGGTGAGAGCCTGGATGCTGTCATACCATCACGAACAACAAGTTGCATTTATTGCGTAACAGCTTCCAAATGGTCAAAAAAGCTAACTTCTGTAAATTGTCATTTCCTGAAAGCTGAATAGATACAAGTATATTCACCTGCAAATACACTGTCATTCCATTTTACAATAATATCCTGTAATGGTCTTTTAGACGTTTTGATGAAGATGCTTATATCAAGGATTATTATGTGCAGGAAGCTTCCTACACATAGCAGCGTGCAAGAAGTGATGTCGGTGGCGATCTTATGACCGAGAAATAAGCTATATTTAAACCTTTCTGGATGCATTCCGGTGGGTTAGGATTTTATGGACCCCAAATATTGCATTATAGCGGTCTCTGTCATGGAGAACGCTGATAGCGCAGATGTTCAGTCATCAGAGAAGGGAAAACTAGTACTATCTAGCTCACCCTGATCAAAGTGGTTCCTCTTATATAGTCAAAATCATCAGAATGCAATTGTGTTTTGAAAAAAATGGTCTAAATGATCAGCCTCTTTATTCATTAAAAGGGACAGAGTAAAATCAAGTAGCCTTACGAAAAGTGTTGACAAAAATAATCAAATAAAAAGTCTAAATAAACATAGCCCAAAAGTATTTCTGTACACAGTTCACTAATTTGTACCAGCACATAAATGAAGATATTCAAAGAGGTGACCTCAGGCATTTTTATGTTGGCCTTGTCTGGCATTAATTAACTGAGAGGTCGACATCAATACCGGAACATCAGTATTATAGGAAATAACCATACAAAAACAAGGATAAAGTTTCAAAATAAACATTTTGGTAATTTGCCTTTTGCTTCTTTTTCCCCCCAAACGCACTTACAAACTAAAAAAATTGTAGTTAGTCCATAATAAAAATGTTATTGACCTAAAATTATGTGTTAGGTAAAACCATAAGATACTAATTACGGTTATTGTGAATAGGTCCATATTCATCACATGTGAATATATTAACTGTTATTAATTTGTGTGAAGAAATGATTGAGCAGCTGGAAGGTCATATTTTTGACCTAGCTGTTGCAAGCCTCAGGAGGAAAACACATATGCTGTCGTTAGTGTGCAAAAAGTTAAGGTATTTGTTCAAGAGTTATGACCTGTAGCGACTCTCTTGACGCTCGTTTTCCAAAACAGCTGCACGAGTTTAAGTCAGAAACAATTTTTGAAGTCCTAGGGAAGTGTCAGCCATACATAAAACTGCACCAGGAGAAAAATATGTGGAAAGTCATGTCCCAGAAAAAGAATGGTTTGTTTGAATATGTAAAGCTGTGTGTGAGTTACGGTGGCTCAAAGTAGCAAAAATATTGCACTCGCTAATGCAGTTGGATTGAACGTAGTCTTTAAAAAGTCCAACAAAATGCAGCAAAAGTCGTAACATCTGTTCAAATTGTTATTTTTCAGCCCTGGAGGAGAAAACTCAAAAGTGCAGTGTCACCTGGCATAACTCATTGAGTACATATTGATCGATTTAATATACATTTGCCTCTAACTCTTTGTGCATGTTATGAATTATGACCAAAGATGCTAGTGGTCTAATTTCACAAAAGTGACCACTTTCCTGCAAAGTTTTTAGGACTCGTCTTCAGCTTCTTGATACTGTGGATACTTTCACCCTTTTTCATCTATTGGCTGCATAATAAGTTACAAAACAATGATTAAAGTGAATGAAAATTCCAGAGACTGCCGTCAGTTCAAATTTTCCCCTAGGTATAAGGGTTTTTACAAGGAAAGTTTATTATTATTTTTAATGCGAAACACTCACTGTTCTATTTGGATGGTTCATCTCCATTCCAAAGCTGCTCTGGTAACATTACTGACAGGAAGGAATCAGCCATTTACCAAAGCAAATTCATTGAGTTTCAATGAGTGGGAGAGGGAGCTTTGGGATCCATCTGACCCATAAAAATCAGAGAACTGACTGCCTTATTCATAAAATCACAAGGGAGGTTTGGATGCAGGAAGCCCTTTAGCCCATTTGATCTCATCCTTCCTGAACACCCACCTTACTGTTGTCCCATGACATCAAACTGTCTTTTTAAATGAGCGTAACATCTTGGCCTCAACCTCCCTTTCTGGTAATCTGTTCCAGTTGTTAATTACCCTCTAAGTAAAGAAATACGTCCTAGTGTTTGTCTTGAAATTGCCCTTTGTTACACTAATTCTTGTTTTGCTATTTCAGCACATCCATTTAAAACCTTATGTAGCTCTATAATGTCCCCTATGAGACACACGATCATCATCGTAGCTTTCCTCTGCACTGTCGCTAGATCCTGTATAGCCCCTTTCGGTTGTGGCAATAAGAACTGTATGTAGAAGTCCAGGTGCAACCTGACCACAGCACTGTACAGCTGGTGTGCGACTTCTGGGGATCTGAACAACTGATTTGATCATGTACCCCAGCAACCTGTATGCTTTATTAATTGTAACTATTTTAACATGGTGAGCAATGAGTCAAGTAGCACCCTTAGATCTTTTTCAGCTTACCCTTTGACAAGTATATCCCATCCATGGAGTCTATGCACCTCCTATTTTTACTTATATGAAGATTCTACATTTATGTGTATTGGATTTTGCCATTCATCCAAAAAAAATATGCTATCATTGCTCTTTGTAAAACTTTGCAGCCTTCTCAGGTTCCACAGTTCCCCACAACTCACACTGAATCTGAATCCAGGTCGTAATGAAATCAAATCAGATTCTTACAGATGAAAAAACATATCAGTCAGATTTCCTGAATCAGGAGTTGTGCTGGTAGTTTTCCCTGTAACATTTAAGCATGTGCTTCAGTCTTGTAGTGATAGAAAACACTTGGTTTAATGCTTCGAGTTGAATTTATTTCAGTCTCAAGTAATACAGGTTATTTTTATACAGTACACCCTAATCTGTCTCTTCTGCCTGTCACATGGAGTCCACTAACCAAATATGTTCAGGGCTGATTGAGTTTTAAACTAATGTATTCCTGTACTTTGTTTTTGAAAACTTTGATATCAGTACTCCAATGTTGACATACAAGTTAGATCAACTGTATTACTTATTAAATGGTAAAATTATTTCCTAGGCCATTCAAACCATGAACAAAAAGGACGGTTGAAGTTTAATAGCAGTATGTTTTTTTAAAAAAACAGTGTGGTTTGGGTAGTGGTTGAATGTGGATTAAGTTACCAACCTGGGATAAGAGTGGTGGATCATGGCTTGCTTTGACGTCTTGCATGAATCTGTGACGGCCTCCTTTCTTGGCAAAGACTCTAGGAACTAGGGGGCCTTGAAAAGGGAGTTCTGATAAAAAGCACCTCCATTTGTAGAATCGAAAAAAACAAAATTGAAATAAACAGTACTCTGTGGCTTTTGAATATTATATCCATTTATACAATACGTTATACGTAATATTTTTTGGTAAGTGTAGTATGAAGGAAGGCTTGTAACCAGGAGGTTGAAGAGCTTTTAGATAATAGAGAACATCAAGCGTTGCCTAAATTGTATTTCACATATTAAGGATTAATTCCTTCAAATCATAACAAAATATTTTTTTAAAGAATATCAATGTCTTTATTGAATGTGTGCTAATCTCTCCAGATACAAAAAAAAATCTAACGGTGGTCACATTTCTATAGGATTTAAATGATGTGGGTTTTTAGATACGTTTAACATTTTGACTAATTGTTTGCCTTCTAACCTTCTCCAGGTGAAGCAGTGGGGAGGCAGTCAGTCCCCACATCTCCCCCAGCATCAGAAAACAGCAGCACCGCACACAGCATTGGGAGCACACAAAGCACTCCCTGTTCCAGCAGCAGTACTGCTTAACCCTGAGGGAAATAACTCTGAGGAAGTGGAATATAAGGGCAAGGTTCAACATGCTTAATTGTTAATATTTGTGTTCTGCGGATAAAAAGAAGATTTTCGTTTGCCCTTGAGACCTGGGACATGCTTTTAAAGTAAAAATCACCTAAGTTGCTTTATACTTTAGACAAACCAAAGTTTCTCAAGCACACAACAGCATATGTGACAAAACTACTAATTACCCTGAGCTAGGAACTTGCTAACCATTTATGAGTTCCTTATGTGAAATTTGTACCAGATATTTTTCTTTGCTGCTTTATTGTTACAATACAGCTATTTTTCCCACTTTTCTGAAATGTATGTACATAGGGGAAACTTGCTGTATACCATGGGAAACCGCTTGAAGTTTCAACTTCAAAAACAAACTGATCAGAGAGCAGATCTATATAAAAAGTTTATTTTATGGATTCCAGAAAAACAAGCATCAGTTAGGGTCCCCTTTCATATTAATTTTCATATCTCATTACAAGATTTGTAATACTATAAATTTATTCTACCACATTTTCAAGGAAAATGTTATTACAATTGAAAATGTAGGCCCATTTTTTTGCCAATGGCTTGGACAGGTGTTTTTCAAAAATACGACACGTTGACTTTTGGAAATATTTGGCAGCACTTATTAATGTTTTTCTATCAAAAAAACAAGGCTTTAAATCAGCCTAAGGAATACTTTTTCAGCTTTAATGTATGTATTTTTTAAAGCAGACTGTCTCAGTCACCAAATATCCTGAATGTTCTACTATTGTGCTTTTCTGCAAACTGTGTTCTTCACGGTATTGCATTCTGCATGGTATACAGCTGAATGTATTTTACATCAAAATTAATAACCTATTTCTTGTATATAAACATCTATAGAACTCTCCAGAGAACAGTAGAGTATTTTAGTAACATAGCTATATTTTCACTGTATATTGAACTGTTGTGTAAGAATCACCAATGTTAAAGCTATTTACTTAAATGAAATTCATTTCTAACAAATGTATGAATTTTGCTAACTGTGAATTTTTTTAAAAAGAAATTTTATAATGTATTTTTCTATCTTGCTACCAGTTCTTACAAATTCCCCAGGAAATACTATTTGGTTGTTTGATGTTGATTTGATTAACCAAAATAATAGTTATTAAAAGAAAAATCTAGAAGAGGCACTTATACATTATGATTTAGGAAAAGGGAGATATTTTTAATTTTATTTTTGACTACGAGGGACAACCATATTGTACCAAATAAATATATATAAACTGCTGCAACACAAATAACTGAATGTAAAGTTCCAGTTTATAGATAGATATGGTTCCAAAGAATTTAAAAACAATGTGACATTTTGAGCAAATATCAATCGCCTGTGATGCAAAAACACCAAAAAAATACATGTGGCAAGATGAGACGCTTAATTAAACAGAGGCAGAAACTCCTGTTGACTAATTCTTACTTCCTTACTCAGTACATTTCTCAGCAATGTGTATATTGAATGGTTCCAATGAGCAATTTAATGCCCTATTTTAATTTCACCCACAAAATATACAGTCAATTCACTGTAAAGTGAAGCGCTTTGATGCGTCTCGAAGACGTGATAAGGTGCTATATCAAATGCAAGGATTATTATTCATTTCCCCTTCGCTAATTGACTCCCTTTATTAAATCTACATTAGGCACTATTCTATTTAATATGTTGTAGATTAACAATAATTTTTTTTACATTATTCTCTCTTTTCTCCAAGAAATTAAAACCTTTCAAATGAAGTATCATCTGCCATGTCCTGCTGACTACTTTTCTAAGCTGCAGATATCTTTGTTTTGTTGAGTTAATATGGGATGCTTCATGTAAGACAGGCGCTTTAAGGGCAAGTTTCAGGATCAGATCTTCTTTATTCAGTGGCTGTGAAAAGATCTAGAAATATTTCCATTTTCATAACATAATTTGGCAAGTACCTGTAAACATGAACCATCTAATATTAACCCAACAAAATATTGTGTATTTAAAAGGGAGGCCAACTGCTTTAAAAATGGATTTTTTTCTGGTGCCTTCTTAAAAGTGTAGATTTGTATACTTTCATGTTGCATGTACAAAATTTGGTGTATTAGAATTTTTGAAAAAATATATATAAAAATATATATATACACAAAAATACATCACCCAAACAGCATGCTAATGTATTAACAAAATCATAGAATGTAATGACCTACAACATCTTTTTGTCTTGTGTACTTTCTCACTTTGACATTGACTCAAGGATTCTAGTCATTAAAACCACTGCGTTGGTAAGAATGTTTGCTGAACCAATTTGATTACTTTAAACATATGGTAGGTTCACTCTGGTGATGTATTGGGGACATTGGCAGCTCTGTATTTTTAATTGCAGGGGTTACATACCTTCTGGGGCTTTTGTTGTTTATATAAAATATTACTGTTTCAGAAACATAATTAAGATTGTAAATGTTCTGTCCTTAATACTTTGTTCAGCTATATCTTTCAAATATATCTACCTCACTGTTTTAATAAAGAAACAAAGCCTGTGTTGCTGGTTGTACTGTTTGACTTTTGCAAGTAAAAGCAGGTGGTAATCTGTGCCTATTTAATAGGTCTATATTCCATTCATGTCATGTTTTATTTTTATTTTTCAGATACAGTTATAAAGAAATTTGTTGTATAAAAATATTTGATCATGTGTTATGCTATGTAACTGTAAAATAAAGGTATATATGCCAATTATCTTACAGAAGGTACTTTTATTCAATTAAGTTCATATGAAAACAGATTAAAAGTTAAATGAATGCGTACCATTCAACCTCTCAGATCAAACTCCTGGAACCGTGGTTGCAATTTTCCTCAAGGACACAAAGTTCAATCATTCCCAAGAATAAATCTTTCATGATCCCCATTATCAAAAACATAGATTGCATTGAATTTTGCTCCATGCAAAATTGTATGTGGAGAGAAGATCTTTCTCATGCTCTCTTTGAAAATCATTCAAAGCACATTAAAGCCTGGCAGTGGGAGAGTGCTCCTTTATGGTAAGTCTCATCTTAATGTTAGATTCCCCATATGGTGAATGAATGAAGGGCTGATGCTTTCCTGCAGGGAAGGAGGGAACAGCAAGCCATTGGGGACTGCTCTTGTGCACATCCTAGCAGATGGCATTGCAGACTTCAAAGAAATAGGAGATTAGATCACTCCGGGGCTCCAGTGTAAGGTCATTATTTGCCAGCTTCACCTTAGTAGGAAATAGTCTTATGAAAACGCTTTTCCTATTTCCATTACTTTATTTTAGTGACCGAATCTATGGAAAACACACAAACATTCCTAACGAGTTACCCTAATTTACATTAACTTATACCCAGTGCACTTTGTAAAACACTAATGGAATTTGGCGTTCATGCCTCAATAGCGTTAAATACGACTGACAAAATGAGAAACAACTTGCTTAGTTTAATGGGCATTTGATATCTGATGTAGATGGTGATGATAGCATGGCTGTGGGTCACAGGCTAAGACATGATGAGGTTTAGGATTAACTCGTGTTTAAGTGGAAGACTGGCTTTCATTAGCTCTGCAGCACTCAGAATCTCAAATTCCCATCTTCCAGGTGACAAACAAAGGGATGCAAGTTAAAAAGAATTTGGACCGCCATGAGTCCTAAGTAATGGTCATCAAAAAGGTTTAACACTTCATAACACACTTTAAAAAGTTTCATGCCCTGTTCCACAATAACATGATGAAAATCTTGTACATACACAGTAATGTTTTTTCATAATTATATTAAATCGTGCATGATTATATTTTACATAACTGAGTATAAATCATGCACAGCAATATTTATGTGTACTTTTGGTAAACAGTTAATGTTCCATTTAAAGAAAATAAAACAAACGTTCATTACCCACAAGTAATTTAAATATTTGCCCTTCAGACAACAATGGTTAATTGTATGAAATAGACCATCAGAGGTAACCCATTCCAAGTCCAAATCCTCTGACGTTCTGCTGCCGTTAGAGTTGTTTCAACACTTATTGCAGCTTGAAATAAAACTTAGCAAATTCAAGGTTTTTCAATGTGAACCATTTGGTATCCAGATTAATCAAACCAAGGCTAAATACTGTGAGGACTAATGTGTTGTTAACCAAGGTTGAATGAGATCATTTATTGCAAACTGACTAATCCCATTAGTCATCTTTTCCATAAGTAATGATATGCAGACTACCATCAATGTAATTTTCCATATTTATCCTTCTTAAAATACACACAGAAACTCGGACAAATAAAAGGATTCACCAAAGCACACAGTTTGACACCCTTTATCAGTCCAAATAGGACTCATTTTCTTATATTTACCTGAGTGTTTCATTCATGCAGATGAAAGGAAAAGTTTTGCAAACAGTAGTTACTTTCCTTTATCCGTTATAGCTTTTAGGATTTTGCAGCTGTCACATGATTTAGATATTTGTTCAGTTCTTCATGCTGTCATCCTCATTTTTTATCACTACTTAATTAACTTTGGTTGTTTAGCAAATCAAATACATAATTCCAACAGAAACAAATCATCAATCATTACAAATTGTTTTTAAGTTCTGCTAACCTTGAAAGCCAAATACTGTACTTCAAAACATTTGGAACAGTGATAAACAATTTATATCACTGCCTTCATTTGTTAATTACAACCCCCAACTTAAACAGTACACAGTACTGGTGATAAATACAGATACTGGAACTTTCTTCTTTGACCCATTACCTATTATGGATGTCTCTGCAATTTGTTCAAACTGCAATCCAGTACTGGGGGAGCACAGCAGCATTAGACTGTTGTCCTTTGGATGAAACATTAAACCAAGATACTGCCTGTTTAGCTGAATGTTAAATATCCCATGACACTGTTTCAAAAGAGAAGGGAGTTCCTTCTGGTCAACAATTCCCCAGATATAATTGGCCACTCACTTCATCCCCGTTTGTGGTACATTTCTGTGCACTATATTGACTGCCATGTACACCTATAAAAATACACTACTTTAAAATCAATCTGTGAAATTCTTTGAGACATCCTCCGGATAATAATAATAATCCTTGCATTTGATATAGTGCTTTTCACGTCTTCTCGACGTCTCAAAGCACTTCACAGAATAGACTGTAAAGTGAATTGACCGTATATTTGTGGGAGAAATGCGGCAGCCAATTGCACACAACAGTGTCCCACAAACAGTCATGGATTGAAATGACCAATTTATTATTGTTTTTTTGTTTTCGAGGGATTATTATTAGGTGTGGAGTAAGGAAACTTGCCCAAGGTTTCGTCCTGCCTGGAATTGAACCCAGGTGTCTCGCTTGCAAGGCAATTGCTCTAACCACTGAGCTACAGGATGCAGAAGGCACTGCATCAAATGCAAGGATTATTATCATCATTATTTGTGGATTGAATCAAGCATTAATCTTAATTAACAATATAAAACTATTTTGTGTAAATTGTAAGCTTTCATGCTGCTGCTGTTGTGCAGCTTGGTCATAGACTATTGGAAAAGACCTTCTGCGTGCAATGTACTGTTACTCATTTTCAACCACTTCTGGGAAACACTGAAGCCACATTCTCACTTGGCATGGCTCCATTTGAGGCCCATTCACTTCTTTTTGACCTCAACTATGTTCCTCATGGCTAGAGAGGGTGAACTGAAGTCAATAGGATAGTTAATGGTGGGGTGCAATTTGCAGAATGGGCTAATATGCAAAACGTGCAGATTTTGTTAACTGTGCACTGCGCATAGATGGAAATAAAGGTGTTTTAAATAATCAATAAAAAGGCTTACAAGTGATTGTATAAGCTTTTATATTGTTAATTACCTAATTAAGGGCATGGTTTGTATTTGATTAGGTCAACCCACAATTGATGCACTTGAATTGTTACCAAACCTCTAAATTGGTCCCAGATTTGCTGGTTTATACCTGACAGAACTGTAGAGAAACACTTCTAATCCTTCAAATCAACAACTCCAGCTTCAGCTGCTAAACGAGTGATTGACTTTGCACAAGTCTCCAGAGGGTTGCAAGTGGATCCTGCTTCAAGGAGAATTAACCAGGGTTTTTTTTCCTCTTGCATTTAGAAGAGGTGCTGATTCAATTATATAATTGAAAGTACAGTATTTCTGATGTCAGCAGTACAAGGACATTACATTATAATATACAATTAAAATGACAAGATCAATCAAGTCATCAGAGTTAATGGTTATATATTTAATAAATTAATTTAGCTCTTACATTTGCCAGGCTCACTAATACCTCCAAAACTAGAACTGTAGAGAAACACTTCTAATCCTTCAAATCAACAACTCCAGCTAGAATCATGATCAAGTATTCCCAGGTCAGGTACAGTCACACGCAGAGTAAGGTTCTTCTGTTCCTTTACATCTTTTTAGAAGTGTGAATGTTCTGTCCTTCCAACACTAGTCATCCTATGATTCAGCTGAGTGAGATTATGGATTTGTACCAAACATTTTCAGTTTATGCTAGGATCCTATTTTATTTTCATTTGATATTTCATCGTCTTATCCATTAGAGAGTTTGGACATGAACATACATACAAAATGTGAATGATTAAAATCCAAATCTCATAGAGGAAGGGATAAAGTGATAATCCACAGTGTTACGACCTTGCTTTTGCACATCACTTGTACGCATAAAGAATCTTCTATTCTCAGTGAAAATTGAAACAAGAGGCCAACCAGACACTAACAATCCACTTAGACTTTTTTAAGATACTGCACTAAGAATTCAAAGTTAAAGAGTCCAATGGCATTTAGAAATAGAATTTCTTTATATTTAGCAAATCCAGAGTAATGCCTTGAATGCTAAGTGAAATCTCTACAAGAAATAAATTAAACAAAATACAGTATAGTTCCCATCCATTCCAATTTAACAAGCATGGCAAACTATTTCTGTCCCTAATCCCCTAATAAATCCATGTTTTTTTAAAAACTTCTTGCCCCAGCTAAGGGACTTATATTTATATCCTTGCAAACTGAATTTCAGTAGGCAGAGAAACACAATTATTTTTAAAAGGGATCTGATTTTAAGAGATAATGCAAAACAAAAATATGATTATAATTTTTGTGGGCTTCCAGAAGTACTTTTCTGCTTCATGAATTCCATATTGTACCAATATTACAACGTACAGCCATGCTATCCTATCTGGGGCAAACTGGCTGCCAAGTATTGCCCACAAAATGCATAGTCTTTTGTGGAGTCCTGTAACTTAGTGGTTACAGCACTTGCCTTGCAAGCGAGAGGACTTGGGTTTGATTCCCAGAGAGTGCAAAATGTTGGGTAGGTTTCCTTATTCCACATGCCTCTGTTTCCCTCGCAGTAAGTAGAAAATAGAACCCAGCTGTTAGTCGCTTTTCCGGGGGTAATAATCCCTTCAAATAAATAAATTAATTAAAAAATAATAATAATTTGGTCACTCAATCCACATCTGTTTGTGCGCAATAGGCTGCTGCGTTTCACCCACAAATATACAGTCAATTCACTTTACAATATACTCTGTGAAGCGCTTTGAGACGTCTTGAAAACCTGATAAGGCGCTAGATCAAATGCAAAGGTTACTATTATCCTGTATTACTAAAAGAGTTACTTTATAGTCTTCATCAGGAGTGGATGTGATAAAACATAATTTTTCTATGCTATGATCAGCCAATTGGAGAAGAAAATGAAAACAGTTACAGTAATCTGAAATAAT